CAGAATCTGTTGCAAAACTACAACTACAACAAAATACGGTGGCTCTGTGTGGTAGGTTTTTGTCTGTGTGTTTAATTAACAAACAAAATTTGTTGTATCTTTGTATCTGGTTTAGTGTGCGTGAGATTCTATACTTTTTTTTGGGAGGAATCGGGAAAGAGTTTCAAATGTATTCATGATGCTGATATTGATAACGATTACACAGATACTGCAACTGATTACTGAATAACAAAGAAAATTGTTGTTTGTCTTAATAAAATCATTGAGAAATTTTGCAACGCGGATTCGCGCAGTTTAATATTTTTCATTTTTACTCGTATATGCGTGGCTGCGGCATACTAAGTAGGTGCAAGCAAATTAACGACTTTAATTAATTAGAGATTATTAAATAGTTAAGTTGTGTGTTATATGTTTTTCGTATGGCTTGGTTTATACCATATAATTATGTAGTATTTAGTTTAGTATGTAGTATGTATGTAATTACAAGTGAATTCAATATAATATGTAGTAGGTAGTGGATAAAATTGCAAAAACGTATCTACTGCATTTGTTTATGTATGTATTTAAGTAGAATTATAAAACTTGTACAAAATTGGAATAAAAAGGTATGTTAATAGTTAAAATCAATACAGAACTTAAATAGCAACTTGGTGTGTGTTCCAACAAACAAACCAACAAACAATTCAATGTTATGCATTTTATCTTATTATTATTATAATTTTTTTTTTGTTTTCAAAAACCAAACTTAGTAAAAAGCTATTTGGTTCGAAGCATTTCAGCGGGGAAACTAAAACTATAAACAAAACCAATTTGTCATAAATTGACTCTGCTGAAGTTGCATAAAAACTCGCGAAGTGACACTTTGCAAACTAAAAATGGGACAAAATTAAAGCCTAATGTGAGTTTCACATTTAAAAGTACACGAAAATTCAATTTAGATTGTACCTTATTAAAAAAAAACTGAGCAAGTTTTATTTAAAAGTTTTGTCAAATAAATTGTAACAAAACATTTTCAATGAGATTATTTTTTTACGTGGCTCTTAAGCAAAAGACCATGAAGATAAAGTTCAACGATTTCTGTGCCAAAATTCATCGATTTCTGTGCATTGTGTTCACTGCACTCACACGCAACTAATTCAAACCCTTCTGTAAATTGTTCCCCGAACGAAACGAATTAAGAAAATTATGTGTGTGTATCTGTGTGTGTGTGTGTGTGAGTGTGTGTGCGTTTGTGAATTAGTGTGTGCATAAATGTGTTTGTTTGCAGTGTTGGCTTGTTTGCAATCAATTTCGAAATTATGCTACCAATGTCGAAAGATGCATGCTCTGAGTTATGCAGCAATAATTACAACAAAATCAATAAATGTTACTTTTAAAAGGAAAACTACATACATTTATGTATAGTAGATAATTGTTTTGAGTCGGTAGCAGTAGCAGTAACTGATAATGAGTTAGCTCTTGTTATAATGCGTGAAAGGAAATGCCGTGTTGCACACTTGAAAATGTGGGAGCAAAAATGTGTTGCATACCCGCCAGGCGCTACGTTTAACTAAGTGTGTACTTTCAACATCACAAATCGAATATGCATCATGATTTAACATTAGATTACCGCTGCGCACAAGTTCAAATTCACAATCATTTTCGATTTTGGTCGAGTATTTCTTTTTTAACTAACATTAAGCCTAAGGATTCGCACACAAAAAAAAAAGAAATAAAAGTAAGCCAAGTTGTAAAAAAAATGTTACATTTGTATTTAGCATGTTTATATTTGGTAAATATGACAACATAATTTACAGAAGGTTTTGAAAAACAAATTACACATTTAAGTTTTAGCCTCATTTGCTTTACTTATTTAACTGAAGAGAGTTGAAGTTCTGCTCTCCTCTTTACACATGCCACCAAGAAACCAATGCCTTTTGGGAATTCGTATATAAGTAATATTTCTTGATCTAATCTTAATTCGAGTTGCTGATAAGCAATAGTTAAAATCAATTTAAGCTGCTGGCAACTGTTCTGTGGTTTAAGATTTGTCGGTAATTTTGTGTTGCTTTTTCAACTGTTTTGAGTGCAGTTGCTGAGCAGAGTTTGATAGCAAAATATGTGGGCATTTTTATGCAAATTCAAGTGGCGTCAAATAACAAATGAAAATAAAAACAAAATAGAAATAAAATTAATTAAAGGAAAAAAGACAAGTAAGAAATAATAACAAAGGTATCTTTAAAAGGTTGTTCATTTTCTGAAGTTTTTTTTAGTAAGAATGCAATATAAGAGAAATCAGGTTAATTCGATTGTAGCGATTGTTGCTTTATAGTTTCTTGTAATTCATCTTTTTGGTGTTCTTGTTGTTATTTGGTTTTTATTTGTTTTTATTTTATACTATTTTTTTTTTGTTTTTTTTTTTTTTTGTATATTTTTCTTTTTGTGGTACAGCCAGCAATATGTTCGTGTACCTTTTTCTAGGATCCTTGCTATATGTTCCACCATATTTGCTTCTCTGGGCAGCCAGTTCAGTGATTTCTGGTATCCAACTAGCGAACACAGCCTAAATTCAACAACACACATACACATTTAGAATAGAGAGAAGTGCCAAAATAGTTCAGTTTCAGTTACAATTGCAGTTTAAGTATTTGGCTAACTTGTTGTTGCTGGTCTTTTTGGATGGTGTGTGTTTTAAGCATTAAACAATGCTCAAAATTTGCTAAATGCGAGAGTAAGAAATTCGTAAAGAAACGACGCAGACGACGCAGAACAGAAAACAATATTCAAATATCAAATTGATCTCACCCCACCACACACATTATTCAGACATTCATTCAGATCAAGCACTCCAACACTCATACTTGCTTATTTACACAGTTGACAACATTTGCAGAAATTTGAAAGCATTCTCACAATAGTATTACATATCTAATTGTACATTAGTTTACAAATACATTTTGGTTTTAATTTTCCGTTAAGATATTCACTTTTACCGCATCTAAAACATTTACTGTAGTTACTGGTTTACTTTAAGATCTACTAATTTACAGATTTACAGCTGTACACGAAAAGTGCTGTGGCTGCCAAGGAATGTGCGAAGAGCAGGACATCTCTCGGCTAAGCACAGGTTTATGATTACTTTTTAGTTTTGGGGTACTGTAATGGTTTTTTTTTTAAATACAAAATAGAGCGATACTTTTCAGTTCTAGTGATGTGCTAAATGTTAAATGCTATGAGATTGATCGAACTTAAACAAACCTTGAAATTGTACGTTTAGTATGCTTAAATGCCTTTGAAATCGATAGCAAAAAAAACTTCGGCTTACCGAAGATTAAAGACAACTTCCAAAATAATTTCACGTTCTACTTTGAATTTACTTAGAATTTAAAAATGGACTTATGGGCATTATCATTAACTATTAATCAGACACACATTTAATAATAATAATAATTGATTTGTATATCTGGAGAATGTCTTTATAAAATTACCATAAAAGGGAAAATAATTTTAAAAAAGAAGACTTAAAAAATGTATGTACTATTTATGTTACGGTGACACTGACACAAAACTTTTTATTTAAGGATCAGTAGTAGTAAATTTGAATTATTGCATAATATATAGCTGATATTTGCTCTCTTCAATATAGAAAATATATATGATATTAACGTGTACTTTGAGATAAAATTGTTGATTTGGCAATGCGTGACCGATGCTTTTTATTATATGTGTTAACAACAATGCGCCTAATAGTATTGCATAAATGCTTTAAGATGGTTGAATAAAACAAGTCTTTAACTATCTCAAATTGATAAACGCATGTTTTGTACTTCTGGTGTTAATGCAAAAAACGTTAAAAGCATTGGCAAATCAAAACAAAAACGTAATTTAACATTAAACACGAAATTAAAAATGTAAAAAAAAAAATTAAATTAAATTGGACAGCAAATTCGGGGCAAATTTAATGTAAACACACGCCTACAAAGTGTTTATAGAACGAATTGCTAACTAATTGAAATCCAATGTGTGAAACAAAACCAATAAATCAAGGCAAAATACAAATACACAAAAAAAAAACCCTAATTAAATTAAACACAAAATAAATGTAGCATATACATTACATATTTATAATTATATGTATATATGTATATGACATACTGATCTGTAGGAAAAAATGTGTATCCATCGTTTCTAATTGAAAGGAATATCGATGTTAAGAGAAATTATAATGGAATAAGTACTATACTTAATAACTTGTATGATTTATCAGCGCGTCACGCAATGATAATAATTGTCATGTTTTTTGGTTTATGTATATTCATATTGAAAAATTAAACTTAGTAAATATGACTCTTTTAACCAGAGTTGACTGAGAACTACATTTGATGAGGGTAAAGATATTAGTAAAACTTTGCATGACAGTCAACTTCGTATGCGAGTTACCAAAATACAAATCCATTTGGTAAATGAAAAACAAAACAAAGGGTAACAGACTAAGTACGTAATATTTTAACTGAGTGTTCACGTTACTATATATTTATATTTATATATATATATATATATTTATAAATATATCACTAATCAATAATTGTTGTGTTGCTAATACGACTAATTACAATTGTTGTTGTACGAAAGATTGTTTCTCGTTCTTAAGAAGGACATACACAGAGTTATCGTTTAAATAATCACCTAGACCTTTGATTCAATTCTGAATATTTGCAAATATATATTTAATTAGAAGTTAGATATACATATATATGAGAGAACACTGCTCAAAAATAAACTTCAAGCAACACAATAGTCTAAACTTAAATAGCTGATTGAATAAATTACACATATTCAAAGTTTCCTAACTTCATTCAAGTATAGATTTGCTATAGATATATAGATCTTCATATTATTTGATTTTGTATTTGTGTTACAGTTATTCATATTTATTTATATCGAATTATGTTTTCTTTTTTTTTTCAAATTGAATGTGATGTTGTTATGTCTTTTATTGCATATGGAATGTTATAGACTACCTCTTTCCGTGTTCTCTTTTCAGTTCACCGCCATATTTATTGCCACTACCAACGAGTTCAATTATTTCCGGTATACTGCTGGCAAACATTGCCTAAAATATTCCACACATACGAATACAGCAAAATTAACAAATTTGTTTATCAAAAATAATTGATTGATTAAGATTTAAGTGATTTAAGTGTGTCTTAGCAATAGGTTCCGATTGAAAAAACACTTTCTGCATCTGCTTAGTGTGGGTACGAAGTAAGGCCAAGACAGTCACACCAAAAGGAGGCTAATACTTAGTAAATTAATTGTTAGTTTATCTCAATATACATATGTTCCTAAAAGCATTTTTAGTTTTCAATTCAAATTTGCGGCAGCCAGCATAAGAGCATGCAAAAAAAACCATTACCTTACATGTGATATAGTTAGGAAACATTGATTATATATGCATATACTAAATAAAATGGACCCTGTCTTCCTAATATGCTTTTTTCTTGTTTTGGTTTATTGTTATGCCTGTTTGTCAGGGTGTAGGTGTCAGTGTCGGTGTCTACAAGTTTTTGTTTTACCAAACCAAAAGCAAATTGAAAATTCAAATATGTTTTAAAAATATAGATAGAAAACTGCATGCATTCGTTTCGACAGCATTAAAAATTAACAGAAAATGCAACTGTATTAAAAATGAATCAACTACCAGCTGCTGTACGAGTAAGTATGTAGATGTCACTGTGTGTGCGGGGTAATAAGAAGAAGAATTGATCGAAAGTGACTAAAAATTAAACCGCACGTTGAAACGCGTTAAGCTTACTTTTGGTGATGAAGAAGCTAACGAAACTTAGACAAAACTTATAAATGAAACGGAAACGGAAACGGAAACGGAGTCTCAAAGTAAACTTTTTATAATCAAATTTGGTGCAGCGTTATTAAGTCGTTCTATGTATTTACATAAACGTAGCATATTTCTTAAATACATTTTAAAAAGATTAATTGAATAAAATATATAGAGTTTTTTTTTGTAGATAAATCCTTATGGTAGAAGTCGGATTGTTGTTGTTTGATGTTGTTACAGTAGAGGGACAACGCGAGGTTGAGGTTAAATAAAGTAAAGTGCTAAACTCGGTACAAAGGGTAACTGATACTGGTACTGGAGGCTCTTGGTTACTTGGATACTTGGTCACTAAGCTAGTTTTTTGTTTTTTGAGCATAACTGTACTACTAAGTACATTAGGCAACAACCAAAACTTTAATCATTCACACATTTTAGCACTGCCAACACCACAGTTGCTTGGCCTAAACTCAATGGGCCTCGATGTAAATTTTTGGGCAAGACACAGAGAGAGAGAGAGAGAGAGAGAGAAACATTGTCTATGTAAACTAAAAGAAAGATTGAATATTGTTGGAATAGAACATATTGTTGTTGCTATATGTGTAAGTGGTATATATTTTTTGTTGAATGTTTAAGCATGTTGTTGTTGTTGTTAAAACTTACCAAGCCGACGAGCAGAAAGAACACGAGAAATGTTCTCCCTAAGACAGTCTCACAGTAAACGTCACCATATCCTACCGTTGACATGGTCACAATTAGGAAATAGACACAGGTCCAATAGGATAAACGATGAGCATTATTAAAATCCAGCGGATCGCCAGAGTTCTCCAGCTAAATTTTAAGTAAATGCAATTGCAATTTTCAATTGCAAACAAATACGCATCAGCGATTTTTCGACATTGCACATTTCAAATCACTATGCCATTGGACACTCGACAAAAAGAAAGCGAAACGTACGTCCTTCCTCCACATGCTCTGTAACAGTGTGCAGCGAGGCGTATGCGTAATCTTTTAACTGGCTCAAACACACACTGCAAATCTGTCACAGAGCCGTCGGGAAGACGCTCGTCACGCATAGCTGAGAGTGTGTAAATGTTTAAAAGTGTATGTGTGTAATTGTGTAGGTGTGTGAGTGTGTGTCTACATACCAGATGTATAATGCCCGCTGCTGTTAACCACACGGATATAAAAATTGATACTAGTTGAGCCAAACGTATTGAGCTCGATGTTTTTAGTACGTTTAAATATTGTAAAATATCTGGAACAGTCATGAGACGTAGCGCTCGAAGAAATCGAAGACCTGTTTATATAATACATATTGACACAAATTAAAGTTGCCACACATAGAGTAAAGCACATTGCATGCATACAAATCGATCGTGGCACGCCTTTAACTATTGAATCGTGTTATTAAAATTAAACATTTCTTTCACACTTGCGTGCGTGTAATTGTGATGTACATATATACATACATATATATGCGTGTGTGTGTGTGTGTATGTGTGTTTAAGTGTACACAAGAGATATGGGAATCTGTGATCTTAGAACCGATTTGTATGCATCAAATTTGTTTTTTTTTTGGGAATTTCATAATTATAGTATAAATTTGGGGTTTTTCATTTTTTGCGCTTACCGATCCATGTTCGATCTAAATATATTGATACGAAGGACGGGGGTATTGTAAAATAATCTACAAAACTGTACATTTCTAACATAAACCAAAGCTTATCGGACGCCGCTATGAACTGCAAAAAAATCGTTAATGAAAGAACACAATCATATTTAACAAATTTGTAAACATAAATATCAACTGATTATCAAATAATGGCTCAGCCAATTGCATTGTGAGAAAATAAATAGTGTGTTGTGTGGAAACTTACTCGTATAAAAAAGTAAACCATAAAAAATATATTGAATGCGAGATCGATCTGTTGAGTAATGTTATTACTCCATTTTTGGCATCTTTCAACTTCTTCACTAGATGCATCAACAAAGTATATAATGAGAGATGCAATGCTGAGTATAAATACGAGTACGACCTGAAAGATAAATGAATAATTTGAAGCCATCATTATAATTTATGGATAACATTTTTTACAAATTAAATACGTACGAGTATATATAATTAACAAGGTAATTCACCTTCACATCTTAATAAATTAAATTTATCAAATTTTTACAGGTGACTGCGATTTTCATATATCGATAAGATTTATATTTTCTAAAGACTTAAAATTTGATCACAATTATAATTATTTGGTTTAGCAATCAACAACAAATCACACTGATCTGGGGAGCTGGATACACGATTCACCTATCGTTTGGGACAAGCTAACAATTTATTTCAGACTTCTTTCAACTTGTTGCAAAATTATTCCAGTTCGCTGTTAACAAATTCGAAATGTGTAGAATACGACAAACAGTTGCATAAAGCACTAAAATATTTTTGTATTTAAATTAAGCCCGAAATTAGGAACGAAGAATCACAGAGATATATGGCAATTGAGTTGGGTAGAAATATCAGGTCTCAGACAAGCCAAATATCTTTTAGGCGGCTTTGAACAAACACGAATAGAACAGACTTAGAATCCTTACCGGCACTGGTAGATATTTATTATTTTATTTGTATATGTTATTGCATTCTTTTTCGAAAGTAATGTAATGAGTTTTTATAGCTCCTCTACTTTTCCCAAAGCCGAGACGAAAAATTAATTTTTAACGGTTCGCTTAATTTCTTTATTTGAGATAATTTAAAAAAAGACGTCTATTCTAACTGATTTTTTTTTATATTTGGAAGCTTCCAATAATGCTAAGGCGTACACTTCAATTGTTATTTTACACTATCGGAAGCCTATCAAGACCCTTAAAGTGACTTAGAACCAGCAAAAGAAACATATTTAAAATACAAAAAGAGGGACCCAAAAAATAAACAATATTTATGATTATGTTTTATATTAATTGAAATTAACTTTAAATGATTGAATTCAATGTCAATAAAAGCTGCATAAGCATGGCTTCTGCTCCTGGCAGAGTCAAATTTAGGCACAGATAAAATGTTAAAATTCAGAAAAACTACTTTTATGGGATTATGCATTTTTAATTGCACAGTGGCATTGAAGCCGGCAGGAGCTCGGGTCTGCTCTGCTCTGCTCTGCTCACGGCTCATTTGATTCATGGGCCGAGGTCCAGCATCACTGCGGCAATTAGTCGAGGGCGTCCCGTTGATAAATCTGCGGCAATCATAAAATATTTACAAGGTAATTTCGACGTGGCTGCTTTTTGTTTAAAATGCACTCGAGAGGCAAAAGTACATACTACTTGGGCGCCAGTTAAATGTCAGGGCTGATTGCCAAAACGGCGGTCGCACTTTTTCCCAACATTGAAACTGCTTATATTCTAAATGGGCTTAATGGTTATTGCCGCCACTCTGCCTCATAGACGTAATTGCTTTGATAATCGAACAAAACGAACCATAAAAGGAAAGCTAAATTTGGCAAGCGCCGCACGCAAACTACTTTCTTAAGCCCCATGTTGTTTCTGATTTGTTGTTTTGTTTGTTTTTTTTTAGTAAGCCATAACGAGCCAAACTTACAATCTCATCTGAATTTTGGTTAGTTGCGCAACAAACATTAAATAAAATTGTGCTATTCCAATTAAATTAACAAAAATTTGACACTCCCAAAGAAAAACAAAGTACAAGATGCTTAAAATTTCCTCTTAAATATTAAATTTTTTTGTTCTATTTGTTCTAATATTTGTTTTCTTCTTATTAGCTCTTAAGTAACTTATATTATTGATTTTCAGTATCAGTTTTATATGAAGGTAATATCGGAATTGATTTCACAGCTTAACTACCGAACTTGTCTACTTGAATTACTCCACAACAATCTTAGATGAAGAAACTTTTTTATTAGAAGATACTCTGCTGAAATAGGAATATCAGAATTGATTTCACATCATGACTATAACAAATATATATAACTAACATAAAAACTTATGAAATTCTTCAATCTTACTGCGAAACAGTGTTAATTTAAGACATTTCATTCAAAATTAACAAAGGTTTTGAGTGAGAAGACAAAATTAACTGATTACGTATACGCCATGGGTCGTCGTTTTCTTTTCATTAAGATAACTTAATTGGCATTGTCCGTTAATGAAATAGAATCTCTCAATCGCATCCATTGTTGACGTAAGACTTTAATAATACCCATCGGTAGTCAACTGGAGACTGACGTCACCAAGAAAAGGTAATCAATGCAGCACCCGGGCCAGGACAGGCCAAGAATGCGAGTCAAACGTAACATGGCTACAAATATGATAAAAAAATATCCACGGCTTATTCTTGTTGGCATCAGCAAGAAACTGGGTCAATCACTTAGTTGGGAGCTCAACCCGAAATGTGTTTGATGTGGCGCAAAAACCACTTAAGCCGCAGCGCAAAGAAGCCAGCTGCACCACCGCGAACTTGAAATGTCGGACAAACCAAAGTGGATGTGTGGGCGAAACACGTGTTTCTTCTTTTCATTTCTTTCAAATATTCTTCGAGCAAAGGCAATAAATTCTCTTTCATTCGACGGAATGCAAAACGTTAGAGAAAGAAAGCTGAATTCACTATCCAAGATTATTACATAGGTTCTCACTCGATTTGTTTGCCCAACAAACACATCAGCAAACTATCGATTTTAAGTTTCATTTTGTAACCGTCTTGGGTATCTTTAGACGCCTCAAAGTATGCCACACAAAATAGAATGTTAAATTGCCTTTTGCTTATAAGTTATCTATTTTTACCTAAAACGAGACTAGTTTGTAACATTTGGTATATATTTATATATATTTGTACAAGAATAAATATTAATGTCCTCATTTTAAACATTAATTTTTGTAATGAGCACAACTTCCTTAGATTTAAGCCTATCTTTTCGTAATATTTCAAACTCCAAACTAAAATTTAAATTTATATTAAGATTACTCTGCAGATTAATGGTTAATCATTTTCTTAAAGTCAAGTCAATAAATTGATTAAAGTTTAATAGATCATGGCTCTATTATATATATTTATTAATTTATAATAATAATTATATATTTTTGGGACAATTTGTTTGTTTAATTATTATTTAGTTGTTGTTATTTTAAAAATAACATTACTTGAATATTTTATTTTGAAGAATACGCATTTACATTTCCTTAATTTTTTTGTATGCTGTGATTGTAAGCTATGATTATAAATAATACAACCTCAAATACTATTTAAGATACACTAATTTAAATTGGTCCTGAAAGGTTTAAGTAACTAGATTACATATTCGCAACAATACTACTTTTTTAACCAATTTAGAATTGAGAATTTCAGATTTAGTTATTTTTTGTTAACGATGATATAAATAAAAAATAGAATTGATTATTTAATTGTTTGTGCTACATATATATGTATATTACATATATTAGTTGCGAGCTTTGCCTGTAGAGCATTGTGTAGCCGAGCAATATCCAATGCAGCACTTGAAATGAGCTCTATGGCGTGACGAAGTGCAATCGGATATGGGCGGCACGGCACGGCACGCAGTAAGCTGTCATAAGTGCAATTTCAGGCATAGGGTCCATATCCGCATTCCCGTTGCTTTGAAAGTGTAAATCCAATTAGCAGCTGGATACACCATGAAGCCCCAATGCGACCAACTGGAGTGCACTGCACTTCATGTCTGGCTTCAACTGCTAATTGTTAAGGTTACACTAACAATTAAAACGCAACTTTTAATGCATGCTGATTGTATAACAGTCAAAACGAGAAGAAAAAAAGGGAATAGATGTAATACATTCAAGCGACATCTATTAGCAGCCATGACAATAATAAATCAACAACAATAGGATACCAAGTAAATGCCAAATGGCTTTGGTAAAACGTCTACGTGTAGAAAGGCATCTAAAAAAGCGGCCAACAGCTGCAATGCCAGAAAGCATTTGGCCACTGTCTGCCAGCCAACTGGCGTGTTTTGGCAGTAGGCCTGGCAATAAACATTTCTCCCACCCCGTTTGCTATCTCATCGACTTTCTCTCTCTCTCTCTCACTCTCTTTTCAATGCTTTCGTTTTCTGGCTTCTATCTTCGTTGTGGGTCCTGGTAACAGTAAAGTGAAACGTGCAAGTTTTTATCGATTTTCTTTGGCATTTGCCTGGCAATCGCCCACAATATTTACTGTTATATTGTTGTGGCACATATATTCTATTATTTATACCCTGTACCGCTAGAATCAAATTGCGTACATATATACCAATACCGAAGGAAGTATCTGTGAAAAAGGATATCCGAAGGAAATATCACCGGAGGAATTATAAGATAAAAAAACGAGAACTTTCCTTTCTTTAAACAATAAAAAATAAATAGTTTTCTGATATCACTTTCTTCAATTGTATTGTTTTACAAATTTCAATGACATCCTTTCAATAATCAAACAATAGATTACCATTGCATATAGTTCAAAGATAACAGAGTTTTAAATGAATAAATATGTATTCTAAAATAAATTAATTTTGAAAAATTTGTTTATTTTGCTTCCGCTTTGAAGCTGTATAGCTTACAAAAAACTTTGTTTGATAAATCTAAAATAGTCAACATGATTTTAATTGTGGAAGGAATAGTCAAAGTTTTCTAATTGGTATTTTTCCTTAAAAATTAATGAAGTGTCGTAAAACATACTTGAATTTAAATGTAAGCAATTGAATATACTATATACTATAATTGGAAATAAGATGAAGTCTCTGGCATACCTAGTCTAAAACAGATTTAAGGGGTGTCCTATTCATGTAGCGAAGAGTGTATATACACCAAGTAAGACTGTATTTTAGGCCTTGTTAGCTATCTACTAGTTGGGCATTGTTGACTAGAGCACCCTTACATGTATCTTCTTTTTTTTTGCTTCATTTCGCCTTGTTTCCCGTTATTAGCTGAAAGTTGTTGTTGCCATTTTGCATATAACAAAGAGCATGTAACATTTATCAATAAATGGGCGGCACACAAGCCAGCTTGTTATGGCAGTGGGTGTGGATGTGTGTGTGGGTGTGGATGTGGATGTGGATGTGTGCGTCGGTCTGGGAGTGCGAGCATTAGTAATATTTGTACTAGCTGTTCTTCCCGTTGTTTGTAGTAATGGCAAAATGCCATGCAGCGTCAAGCAGCGGCATTTATCATATACATAAACATAGACCGCTGTGAGTTGGCTTTTTTATTTCCATTTGGCTCTTGTTGTCGTCTCAACATTCAACTGTCATTTGATAATAAGAACTATGTAAGTATGTCGAATGCGTTGGCTTTAACTGGCATTCGATTGCGCTATTCGGTGTCTTTCAATCTGCAATACCAGATAAACACCAACCGAAATGTCAACAAGCCGCAAAATTGGAATTTCAGATATCTATGCATGTTTCAATCTTCAAATGTAATCTGTGGAGATACCCTCATTTAATCGAACCCGCTCAGGCGACAAACCAAATTCTTACTATAACCACAATAAAGGTTTAATAGATTTTTTACTGCAAACTACCCAGTATGCTTACAAAAAAAGTATGCTATAGAAATAAAAACAAAAGTCTATTGAAGCACTCCCCAGTAGTTGCTGATTTTATTGATACTATTTACGATTTAATAGTCAACTGAGAAACTTCTGTGATTATTAAAGAAATTCTTTGGGTAGCACTTAATTCATAGAAGTTCTGACATGGAAGTAAAATAAGCTATTTTAATACTAAAAATGTTTTGCAACAAAAAAAGGAAAAAATATAATTGTCTTTCTCTTCAGCCCTGTGCCCTTTTCAGATAGAGGATATCCGCGAAAGTTGTAAAAAATTTGTAGAACAGTTTTGACAACCCTTCTCAACAAGAAATCCTTATTGTAAGCACAAATTGTGAGGCTAAAATCAGAGGGAAAGTATGTAGATGTCATGCAGAATTGCCTCTGGATTATTAAACTAATTTAAATTCGATTTAAATAAATGCCCTTAACCAGCCCTGTAGTCATACCTGATCGCTTCATATTTGAAACATAAAAAAAAATAGTGTGCGATTTACGACGCTTAGTTGGAAAATGGATCAATCCTGCGCTAAGAGGTAGTTGAAATACTTCCCCTAGATCGCAGAGATACACACCAGAATCTCATTATAGAAACAACCTTTCAATTAAAAATATGAGACTTAGATCTAAGCGCCTACAGAAAAAGGGGAAATATCAATATAAATATATTCTCGACTTCTATGCAGAATTTACCGAGTAGTCACTTGACTAGAACATTCAGATGTTTTCTTTGTATTCTCTTACTTATGTGGTATTTAGTTGTGTGTCAATATTTTTAGATTTTATAATTATGGCATCTTTATCTAAAATATAAGCCAATTAAATATTTTAGCATTTAATTACACCTGAAGAATTAATCCATTAAAATATTTCAACAATGCCTGAGAAAGTAAACCATTTAAATATTTTAAGTATACCCTTTGGCATCTTAAGACCCACATGTGAGTTGCTCTCTTACTTTGTTAATATACAAATATTAATTCGTGACTCACGAACGAAATGAATAATTACGAAATTGAAGGTACTACGCGCCAAATATATACAGTCACTAACCAAATGAGTCGGCGACTTCAAGCGGTTGTCAGGCAATGCCACATATAAAATCCCCATAGTAGGTTTGGACTTAAGCATTCACATTTAATGGATGGTTGTATAAAGTGACATATGCATAATATTGAAATATGTATGTTTACTCACGCCCAGAATTAGTTATCAGCACACATGTTTATTTCCAAGTAAGCAGTTGGGGAACATTTAGATCCCCAGACTTATTCAAAGCACCAAAGCGGGTGGCATTCGCAGGCCACTAAATAAATTTGGCTGTGAGCAATTGTGGTACATGGAAATGGTTGATTTACTTTGCTGCTTCCGATGTTGACATGCAACCAACAGTAACAGCAGCAAAATGTGGCACAATAAAATGTAAATGTTTCATTTTACACGCACGTCGCCAACTGAGTAAGCAACTAAAATGCACTTGAAGAGGAATACTACACTCAAATAAATTTAATAATGCTCTCTCTCTGCGATTGCATTTCTACATTTAGTATACATTTATCTTAAAAAATAAAATAGTTTTCAAATGTAGAAATAAACACCATAATTTTTGGGTCTGTGGAGGCTAAGCTTATTTTATTTATAAAAATCGTTTCGTAAATTTAAAAAAAATACTTCTAGAAACGCTTTTTCTAAGTGTATCCATATGCCACGCAAGCAAGGTGCTTTGTTGTAAATTGCAAAATTTCTACTTGGATCAGAGTGGAATTTTGAATCGAATTTTAATGAATTGAGGGGAGTAACATACCAAAATTCGACCAGTTGTTGTTTGACCCGAGATAAGCTCTCCAGCCCAGTCTTTTGCTTCTGTCATAAATGTTCCCTCGAACTCCTGTTTGTTGCGCGACGCCTTCTGCTCCTTCTGTTTGGGATCGTTGGGTCCCAGATCCGGCTCCTTGCGGCAGCAGATGAATGCAAATGCACGCCATAGCAGCACAATGAGCAGGCCAGCAAGGAATGTGAATATGCTGGATAGCAGGAAACACCAATATTTGCGAACTTTGAGACAATCATCGGCATCGAATGGTGAATCTGTTGGATCATCGGCCAATGATTCGACAGTGCTTTGATCACACCCCGACATCCCCTGCAAAATGTATATTAAATATTTATAAGTATTGCAAATTCAATTTAACTAACTCTTAGCAATAATAACATTCATAACTAGGTAGTGACAACATTTTTGAGCACTAGACAGCAGCCATTTATAAATATGTATTTAGATACACGAGTAAATGCATGTATATATGTATGTATGTAAGTATGTATGAATTTATGTGTGTGTTTATTTGAATAGATGTACATATATATTACACATACGTCACGTTTGACATTTAAAATGAGCACAAGTTTTTGGCTCAAGTTTGCATCGCGAAGCGCATAAATGTAAACAAAAATATTAGTTTTGAACGACAGAGAGTGTATGCCATAAATAAGTATAAACTTAATTGCGAATGCTTTGAAATTTACATGGTAGTACGGCAACTATATGAAATGTCAAATATAAGCAGCAGACTAGTTGTGTACATTATTGATATCATTGCTTACATTTGTCAGTACACTGATATTTGTGCCGATCAATCCGTTTGCCATTTCAGTTTGCTTACATTGCTATATATATATATATCTATATATTATATATATACACACTTTATGTACAATTGATGTGAAATTATGACTTTATGTTGTGGCTGAGAGTGGGTCTGTGACTGATTTTCACTGGGCTTTCAAGTGCATATAGCAGACCACTGGCAATCTTTGGGCATGGCCAAGTGGCCAATGACGCCACCAAAGAGCCAAAAGATCCGACACGACCCGACACGTCGAACCACAGCGAGACGAGATGAGACGAAACGGAACGGAACAGAACGGCACAAAAACTTGGCACGCCTTTAAAAATAGCAACAAACAAATCGTTCTTTTATTTTTAAAGTGATCTCGCAATGTACGCGACAACACACACACATACACACACACGCACAACCAGCTAGAGCATAGAACGCGGCGACAATTTGCTTAGAATGTTAGCATTAGCCATGCGACATTTTCAATACTACTAGACGAGTACGTGTACATTCAGATATTTATATATATATACATATATATATCTTTATCTTTATAAGTATCAATGGTCAATGAACATTGACCAATTCTCAACTCAGAGATGTTTGCGAGATGTTTGCACAAATTTCACTGTGTTTAATTTTTATTTGATCGAATTTTGCACGCTTTGCAATAATGAGCCACTGGGGCCAACGCACTCAATGAATCACTGCGTACACCACTTGCAATATATATATATATATATATATATATTTATATTTATATATATATATATGTTTTTGTATATGTATATTAGAAATTTGCATTTGTCGCACACACACATACACATACACTGGCACACACGCCACAACGCAACACGCACGACCAAAGTCAGCCAAACAAAAAAGGAGGCATCGAGCGAACAGCACAAAAGCCGCGCACCAACTGAAAATGAACGGGCTCTTTTGCGTATATGCGACGATAGCGATGAGGAGGTGTCCAACGCCGCCGCCGATGACTTCTCAGCTGGCCAACTGGTGCTATCTCCTGACGCTGGCTCACTCTCCGTCTCTCTCTCTTTCTCTCTCGCTGGCTGACCGCGAAAATTGTCAGCGCAGGCGACAAACTTGAATTTAATTAAATGCCACGAAAAGTTAAAGAATATCTAACATTGATGCAACCCGCACCTGGCATTCTCTTTCCTATATTTAATCACAGTCGTCAGCTTTGCACTTTAAAATAAGTTAAGAGCGCTTAAATTTGTATAATGGTTAAATTTCAATGCTAATTTGTAATAAATAATAATAAATATTGGATGTACATTTTTATAGAAAAAAAAAACAAATAAAACCAAAATATTTCATTTGATTTATAACTATTAATCGCCAATTTCATAAAACACCCGTTTAATAAAAAATAAAATAAATTTGAAATACATTGTATATATATTTATATACTTTAAAATGATTTGAATGCTAAAGATTATAAAAAAAAATTGTTGAACATTGATTGTACTCCATTTTCCGAGCTCTTTGCCTTATTTTAGGTAACCAAGTTCATCTGGCTTTTGTTCTGCGTTGACTGTCAATCAAAATTAGGCTTCCTTCTTTATATTTATATATAATATTATTAATTTAAGTCTGATAAGAATTATTTGTTATTAATAATATTTGATTCAGAGTATTGTAACAGCTTTGAACAGTATTTTTCAATCCTAGTTTATTATTTTCAAACTTAAGTCATATTTTTAATCAATTTAATTTAATAATCAATGTTTTTAGAATAATTTCTTAATCCAAAGTAGTCTTTTAAACATCGCGGCAAAGTGTAAATGCCTTCGGGAAGTGTATAAGACGGTTTATGGTATGTACAATAGAGCTGTTTACCTCTGCGTATGTGTGTGTGTCTGTCTTTGTGTATGCGTGTGTTGCCAACAATGAATTATTATTACAACAAGAACAGCAGCAGGGCAAATATAAATAAATAAAATATGAGTTCTCTTTGTTTTTGTGCCCGCTCAGTGGCAGTTCAGCTCGAAGCACACACATACACACACACCAACACACACACAAATTTTGCATTGCTTTTCTGTGACCTGTCGCCCAGCAAACTGCTAACGGCTAACGGTTAACGGCAAACAGAGCACACCGGCCAGGTTAACTCAGCCCAACTCAGCTAAACTCAGCCCAGTCACGCCATGTTGCCAGTTAGCTGTCGTTTCATAATTTACGCGCTTTGTTTACTATTTCCTGCGGGTATAGACCAACAACATCAGCCTGAACAGCCAAGCACCCACCCACCCATCGTTGCCATAAACATGTTGGCCCAGTTAGTTCATGTGCCCGTCTTAACTATGCATTTTGAGTTGCCATAATTGCTCATCATCATCAGCGGCGACAGCAGCGTGCATTTTATTTATAGTTTCTTTTTTATATGTCACTCTTAGTAGCTGGTTAAGTTTATCGCTTCATTGCAATTGGCCAATTAAAAAAATTTATTTTCAATTCGTGTACTTAGAAGCGTATTTTTAAACTGTCGTTAACCTTGAAATTGTTAGATGCCATGGAATGATGTCCACAACTACATCACGATGACGTATTTGCATAAATAATAATATATATTGTTAATGGTGTTTAAAAGGCAAGTTTTCAAATGAAATTGTAGAAATTTAAAGGGATTTAGAAAAAAGCATTAAGCATTGCTTTAATTACTCTTTTTCTTTTTTTTTTATTATAAAAGCAAGAACATTTTTAAAATATTTTATTTATTAATTTTGATTTTCTGTATTTTTTCTTTTCGACTGATATTAATTAATATTAAGTAAATTCCAACTAAAATTGACAATCGACAAACCTCCAGCACCTAGTTTTGAAGTGGAGTTCTATAAATGTTAATTGAAATTAATTTAAAAAATTAAGTATTGCTTTAATTGTTTAATCAATTTTTAAATTTTTTTTATTTAAATGTTATTATTAATTTATTTTTTTACTTTATATATATAACCGTTTCGGCTGATATATAACTGATATTAAAAAATATATTAAATGAGTAAAATAAAACAAAAAAATAGAATATATATCATTTATAAGTAAATTCCAACAAAATAACCGCAGAAAAACATTTCAGTCTTTAAATAAAACTCATATAAAATAAAAAGCATTGACATGAAATTCAAGAATTATTAATGGGAAATTCGTTTAAAATTAAAACATGGCTTCAATTATAGTTTTTTTCTCATTTCTTTTTTAAATTTTAAGTGGTTTTATTTGAACTTACTAGTCGACATTAAATAGTTAAGCAAAATAAATATGTATTCCAACTAGAAATAATGAAATGATAGTCAAATGATTGAGTAAATCACTCAAGTACATACATACTTATATAAGTATATTCGATACATGTATATTTTCTTTATTTGTACTGTCAACATTTTAAATGCCGTCAATTTTATCTTCAAATCAATCAAAATCGAGCAATGGACTAGATTGTTGACATACTAAATCTGTTTAAAACTAGCCGTTAACGATAATGACATGATGAAAAGTGATTTTGCCATTCAACTGTCGGAATTATAAATAAACATACAAATATCATTATCATCGTGTTTTTCCGATGTGTATTTTGGAGCGAAGAACAAAAACTACAGCCGTCAAGATTACAAATGACTCACTTAAAACACAATTTATTTCTATCTGAATTTTGAGAACATCAGCAATTTGTACATATTTATACATTTATTTTAAATAATAATCAATTATTTAAATTGTCGTATTTTCTGCTCTAGTCAGCATTTTGTCTGTTACTTTGCTCTACAATACATTTCGTTTATTTTCAAAGTGACTTAACTGGAATTTAGATACGCGTTTTCTACAGCGACGCCCTGCTGCGACTAATAAGCCAGACCCATGGCATTTAGATAACAGAGCGATATAAATTATGGCCAAAGACTAAGGCGATTTCTCAGGTTGTCAGACAGAAACGCGCAACCCGGGTGGCAATCAAGTGGATGAAGTCACACGACGACCAAGTGGTAATAATTTACATTGTGAACTATTGATTTTAAGGCGTTGGCGTAGGCTTGGTGAGTGGGCGTGGCTGTGAACCACCCGATATATGCACACTTACATATATACATAGATAGACAACTTGACGCAAGTCCGTCAAATGGTGGCAAGCAAAAGAATTGTAAAAGAACAAAAAGATAGAGAACAGTCAGAGCCAACAGAGCCGACAGACGACTGTTGCAAATGCCACAAGCGACTAGCAATGGGTTGACAAATACCCTTCGACTTTTTGAGCAATTTATGGGTCGCACTTGGCCTGCTGATTGTAGCCACTGATTGCTGACCGCTGCCGACGCGACATTACCAAGGCCAAAGGGCTTACGCTGCCCCATTTGGGCGTTTGCCGCTTGCTACTTGCCGCTAGCTGCTAGCTGCTTGTTGTTTGGTGCTGTGTGTCCGTTTCTGTTTCGGTTACAATTACAGTTTGAGTTTCTGTGCCACGTTCGCAAAAGGTCACGCGAGCTGCTGAACACGTATGGAAATATGCGCATACATGCGTACATGCACTTAGAAAAATATATGCCCCTGAGCTTGGAGAATCATTAATTTATTGGCCACAAACATAAAAAAATAAAAAGTTTTTTTCAATATATTTCTTTAATTGAATGAAACTTTTTCGATTTGTTAATATTATATTCATGTCAATATTATTTTCATTTGTGACTTTTAGTATTATTTTAATATTTAATACAACTATCAAAATTGTAATTAATGGCAAACGTTTTCAAAGTCAAAAAATGTATTTCGCCAACTTAGAAATTATTTATAATTATTTCTGGCTTTTAGTATTATTTCAATATTAGGAAGACTTTCAAGTTTCAACTTGGGAATTACTGCTAAATATTTTTGATTTTCTGTGTTTTTCTTGATATTTGAACAGTCTTTTAAAATCGTTGGTAAATATTTTTCTCTGAGTGTACACCCATTTTGTATTTGTACCGTAATACGCTATAATACGCTTGTTCGTACAGTGCAACAGTTATCAGGGATCAGAGGCAGTTCTTGTAATAATTGATATCTAATTATCCTGAATAAGCCACCAGCGATTTGCCTTAACGATGGTGAACCCAATATGATTGATTGATTGATTGCATTGATTGCACATAGACAGCCAATACGAGCACTAGTCTGCGTGAGCTTATTTTGATAATGTTAGGACTATTTAACTATTCAAATTCTAAGGCAGATATTTTTTTCTAAGTGCGCATCCAATTCGTATTTGAACCGTACTGCTATATTATTAAGCTTATTCATACACTGAAACTCTTATCAGAGATCAGAGGCAGTTCTTGTAAATGATTGATATCCAATTATCGTCGAATAAGTCGCCTCCGATTTGCCTTAATGATGATGACCCCAATATGATTGATTGATTGGATTGATTGATTGCATTGATTGCACATCGATAGCCAATACGAGCAGAATTAAGCTTTCACGACATCTAGCTTGTTGTTGTTGCACACAACACACGTAAGTAATGAAGGTTTTTACCTTTGGCGAGATTGGCGGATAGAACGGTGGCAGTTCCTGACAATTTGGACACCAGCTGGCCATTTTAGCTGTTTCGGTTTCGTTTTCGTTTTTGATATCTGGTTGGATTTGGGTTTCTCACTTGCAATTAGAGCCAAATAAGCAGCCGCAATCGATTTACTTGTCTCCGTTTTCATATTCGCTTCTTGAAATTGTGTGTGCGTCAGATATGTAGGAAATTGTTTTTGTTTTTGGTTTTTTTTTTGTTGTGTTTTTCGTTTTGTGTATTAATATTTAGTGGGGGAGAGGGGGTGCTGTTACTCACCTAGTACAGGCTAAACCACCGAGGCAGGGCTCCAGGGCTGCCAACATTCACACGCTCAAATCGCACATCAATGTGTAGACGATTTGTTGTATTTGTTATTATTTATACAGCAGTTGTTGTTTTGCTTTTAGTCGTTTTTGGTTATTATTATTATAAATATTATTTTAGCCGTAGAAATGAGAATTGTTTGGTTTGGTTTCGTGTTTATTTCATTATATGCGGCTTGTTATATCATTTTATTGGTTTCGATTCATATAAATTGGGTTTTTGTAAGTTGTTGTTGTTGTTGTTACTTTAGAATACCGTTATTAATTTCATTGTGCGTTTGCTTGCTATCATTTTGTTCAATTGATTTGCTATGAATAAAAATGATTAAGAAAACTTCAAACTTATTTATTATTATTTTTTATTTTTATTTTACACAGCTCTTGCCTGATTTGAATTTTTTGGCTTTTTTAATTGTGCGCAGGGTTTTTTTTTAAACTTAATCAACTAAGCAGGACACTCCACAACACAGAGAAATTATTCATGGTGCCTTTGCCTTCGCAATTTCACTTGCTTTTCTATTTGCCACGACAAATGATAGTAATTGGGCGACTGCAGGTAAAACGACAAAGCACCTGGTAAATAAATAAATAAAGACGCGAAGCAGATTTCAAAGGAAAAACAGCAGCTGAGCGTCACTTTTTATTAGGACTAGCAAAGCATGGCTCTCTCTTCTCACTCTCTCTCTCTTTCTCTCTCTCTCTCTCTTTCTCTATCTCTCTCTCTCACACACACACTCGCATTCTCTTAAGTGTTTTTGGGCATGCGCTTTGCCTGCAGTCCGAATGCGTTTGAAGCTTTTTCCTTCAAGTTGAACGCACAAAATAATTTCGATTAGGCATACAAGGAGCAGTGTTGTTAAATTGTGATTTGCTATTGTTGGCCTTTATTAACAATTGTCATAAGTATCTCATTAAATATTGTCAAAAAACAGACTCACACACATACAAAAACCAATGTTGCACAATTTTCACAGTACGTATGAATGATGCATGCAATGCGACGCCAGTGTTGGCAACGGGGCAACGAACGAACGAACGAAGCAGAAGCAGAAGCAGGCATGCCACGAACTGTGCGCGTGAAGCGTGTGCGAGGCAATGAACGCTTCCAAGAGTACGCTGCTGCAGCCTGTCGTTGAAACGGAAACACACTGCCCTACTTTTTAGTTGTGCACATACACACACACTCACACACACACACACACACACACACACACATGCACACACTTATACATACACTAACAAGCCGCATAGGGATATTTCTTTTCTTTTTTCTTTAAGTGCATATATTTAAAATAATTGCGCAGGCAATATAGTTTTAAACACGCCAATTTGCGCTAAATACCGTTTCTCTGTGTGCGTGTGTGTGCATGTGTGTGAGTGAGCGCGGCCAGTGTTGCCATTGTGAGCCGAAATGTAAACAGAGCGAATGCCTGGCCAGGCGCGCATTGAACTCGGTTTCGAATTGGGCTTAATTTCTTTGTAGGTATCTACTGCACATATATACACACACACACACGCGCACATACACACACACATACATATATATATATCTATACACACATACACGCATAGGCTCGGGCACTGACTGACTGACACACATATACCAACAAAAGGCGCGACGAACGAACGAAAGACGACGACGAGTTGGAAACAACAAAAATAACATTGACGATGACAACGACAACGAAGCCTGGCTAGAACGGGGCCAGCAGCTCATTCGGCGACAACAACAGCAACAGCAACAACTATAACTGTACTATATCTCCGGCTGCCCATCGACTTTATCATCGTGTCCTTTCGCCGCGCCCTTCGTCCTCGTCGTCGTCGTTCAAAACTTTTGTGTGTGTGTGTGCTCGTTTTTGAGCAATTCAACATGAAACTGGCACAATACGTATACATATACAAATATTTGTGTGTGTTTGTGTGTGTGTGTGTGAAGGAATGTATCTTTGTAGCCATGCGTATATGCGTGCTTGTGTGCCTCTTAAATGAAAAATAACAGCAGCAGCAGCATCGCCAGAATAAACAGGAAAAATCCACATATTAATTTAGCCATCCTTTGATAGTTGTTGGTTCTTTTTTTGTTATACAGTTGAATTAGTTTCATAATTTGTATTTTGTATTATATCGGATATTAAATTGCACGACACTCACACGAATTTGTCGAGTGAGCTATTTTAATTGAATTTCCTGTCCAAAAATATATATGTATATATATATATATATGTCACACAACCACAACTAATCATTTTTCTACTTTTTTTCTCTCACGCTAGCACACGATTTTCACACGAACGAGTACAGAAATATTTAGATACTTTTTGTTTTCGAAAAAATGCGTTTAACTTTTCAAATTGAATGTTTGCGTAGGAAATATTTGCTTTAATTGGCATACGCAGATTGAAAATTTTTCACTTTCACACTATATGTGAGAACAGCATGAGTGTGTGTGTCTGTGTGTATGTGTGTACACACACATATATATTTATTGAGGAACTTTTTTTTTCATTACTTTTGACACACAGACAAACGACGCGCACAGGCCAAAAGAAACCAACCTTTCTCGTCAGCAGCGTATACAATTCTGCGCGCTGCCAACTCAACAACACGACTCGTGGCTCTGTGCAGCCAAAGCTCGCCTCTGAGCTTTTTCGGAGTGCTAGGGGCCTGGCAACGGCAGGCGGAGCTTCTGATTCATTAAAACTGCCGCCAAAATGCACCGAAAATGCCAATGTATGTGTGTGTGCGTGTGTGTGTCTGCAAGTGTGTGTGTGATTCGCTTTATTGACGATCCGCTCACGTGGCGTATACGTAATATTGCTCATACCTCCAGGCAAGGAAATGCAAACATTTTGTCGCCTCTTTCAAACAAATGTGGCATACTTGAGGCATATTTTCAAATGGAACTGTTGCATACTTTTCGGATAACTTATAAAAACTTCTGGATTCTATTGTCTATATAGATTTATATTTCGGCGATTAAGACAAAATTTCCGATTCATTTTAGATTTTTTTATATTTTACCAATTCATACAAAGTTTTCTTTTTTTTGAGAAGTTAATTAAGTTAAAATGCAAAATAGAATGTACATTACAAATATACAAAATATAAAATCAATAAATAAAATGTAAATAAATAATATACACCAAATATTTTTCGATGGCTCCAAGGGCATCGACCCGCATAGTTTTGTATCGGAATTTAATATCACAAAAGTTGACTGAGTGGCAATTATTATTAATTTTTAATGATTAAAAAATGAAAATGCTAGATTTTTAATAATATAAAAATGTGCTACAAATACAATAAAAATTATATCAATAATTATCCATATTTATTAATTTTTTATATAATATGTATAATACATTGTGTTTTATATTATAATATATTATTATATATTTTATATTTTTTCTAAGCCAAGAAAGGATCTGCACTCACCTGGGGTCACTGGGACTAACTCGCAAAAAACACAACTCAAACACTGTGACCAGTTCTTCCCCTCCGCCGACTAATTAAAAAAAAGGGCTGAATGATATTCAAAACGAACTTTGGATTTCTTTTCATCCACGTGACTAGAAATCTGCATTTCATTTTCTTATTAAAGATTATTGTATTGCAGCAGTAATCCGTTGGCCAGATGGCCTTCCCCATAATTTAGTTCCTATCGAATTTTAATGAAACGAATAAGTTTCGTATTTCTCTCAGTAATTTCATTTGGGCGCGCCTAATATGTATTGGGCTGCCACCTGGGTGAAAAATAAGGCCCCCAACTATCGATTACACAATTACTCCAATGCAGCAAACATTATTATATGTAAAAAAAAAAATAAGCTATGCAAATTTATAAGAACTTAAATTGTAAACAATGCAATAAAGCAGTCAATTAATTTTATTTTATTTTTTATCCGTCTTTTATTTTTATTGTGTCGATAGTTAGCAATACTGGGCTAAATATAATAATCGAAACATCGATAAGTCGTAGATAAGAGCCGATAATCAAAATATTTAAGCCATAACTACCGAAAACTAGGTTGCCTAGATTTGGTATTCAAGAAGGTGGCGAAATTATCCACAATAGGGAAACTTATCAAACAGCAAAAAGGGAGCACCTAACCCAACTCCAATTACACAATGACTACGACAGCCGTACTCGGCGGCGGCATCAGTGGATTATCCGCCGGTTATTATTTGCTGCGCCGCTTTGGCAAACCTTTGACCATTTACGAGGCATCGCCTCGTGTAGGCGGCTGGATACGCACGGAATGGCACAAGGAGCGCGGCTTCATCTTCGAGACTGGACCACGCACAATCCGACCCAAGGGTGTGGCTGGTGCCAACACATTGGAGTTGGTGGAGCAACTGAAGCTGCCGGTTAAACCAATACGCAGCTCCCATGTGGCGGCCAGGAACCGCATGCTCTATGCCAAGGGTCAGGTCTGTATGCTACCCAACAGTCCAAAGGGTCTGATTGCCACGGTACCGCCTTTTACCAAGCCGCTGTATCGAGCTCTGCTCCATGACCTGACCACGGGCGGCACTGTGGCCAAAAACGAGGATGAATCTATCTATAGCTTTGCCGAGCGGCGATTTGGCAAGGAGATCGCCGACTATGCGATCAGTCCAATGATATGTGGGATTTGTGCCGGAGATGCGCGCGAGATTAGCGTGCGCTTTCTCATGGACAGTCTCTTCGAGAAGGAGCAAAAGTATGGGGGCGTCATCAAGGGCGTGCTCTACTCGCGCCTCAACAAGAACGAGGACAAGGACAAGGATGTGGATAGGCCAATAGATGAACCGAGTAATCTGTACAAACAGGCGGTGCAGGAGAAGTGGGCTATGTACAGCCTGACCGATGGCCTGGAGCAGCTGCCACGCGCCCTACGCAAATATCTCGGCGAGCACGATGTGAACGTCCAGCTGAGCAGTCGCTGTAACAATCTGAGCTTCAGCAGCGACGGTGCACGGCTCGGTCTACGGAATGCGGAGCTGCCCGTGTCGCATGTGGTCAGCTCGTTGCCGGCGTATCAATTAGCGCCGCTGGTGCGGCAGCAGCATCCATCGCTGTGTGCCCAACTGCTCGAGATCCCTTATGTGGATGTCGTTGTGGTCAATCTGCAATACAACAGCGATCAGCTGCTCAAGCAGAATGGGTTTGGTCTGCTGGTGCCGCCAGTGGAAAATTTGCCGGTGCTGGGGGTGATCTTCGACAGCTGCTGCTTCGACATGGCGGGCAATACGATCCTCACCGTGATGATGGGCGGCAAGTGGTTCGAACAGTGGTTCGGCCACCAGCCCAGCCAGAAGGAGTTGCGCGACACGGCCCAGCAGCATGTGCGCAAGATCTTGAACATTAAGGAGGAGCCGACATTTAGTCGCGTCCACCTGCTCCACAAATGCATTCCCCAATATACCGTTGGCCACAAGCGGCGTGTGCAGCAGATTCGGGATTACATACGCAACTACAAGTTGCCATTGTCGCTGTGTGGTGCTGCCTACGATGGCGTCGGCATCAACGATGTCATCCTCTCTGCCCGTCGGCAGGTGGAGTTGCTCCCCATGCCACAAACGCACTGAAATTGTTTATCTTTTTGTCTATTAATCTTTGTATATAATTTTTGTTTTCCCTTTCAATTTTTTTACATAAAGTTGACTTATCCATCTTCAGCACCAGCATTTCATCACTTGCCAAAGCCACCCAAGCAGGGTGGACTCTTCTCCGGCTCCTGCTCCGGTTGCCATTGCTTAGGCGTCTTCGCCTCAATGGAGAGAGCGTGCATAAACTCGAATCCTGCTTCCTGCAATGCATTCTTTATGGTGTCATTGACCAGTCGATGGCGCTGCAAAGCAAAAATTGGCATTTTTGTAAATTAAACACAGTTGTCAACTATTATTGACTCACCTTGATCAGCGTCAGATCGTTGAACTTCTCGGAGACGACAAGCACCCGGAAATGGGACTCGGCCTGTTTGGGTGTATTGTGCATCGGCGACTCGTTGCTGACATCGAGGAAAATGGGTTTTAGCTGAGTTGTTAGCGCTTTTCTCATCGCCGTCTCTATCGGCGGATATTGTGGCTCCTGTGACATCGTTGCTCGGCTATTTCTATAGACGTATGTGCCGCTGGTGCACAGCAGTTGATTCACCTTTTGTGCGCTAACTTTGACGGAATGACGCAAAGTTAAACTAAACATGTTTCCACTTCTCACGCTCAGATCAGCTGTTTCACAATTACATAAACAAACTTCGCTGGCCGGTTAATGTCAAAGCCGATAGACGATGTGAGCCAGTTCGGTTCATCGCTGGGCGTGTTATCGATAGGCACAGTTTTGAATGTGAATTAGAGTGGACCTTTACTTTTTTTAAGTACTAGATCAATTTGAATGGAATTTTAAAGTTCACTTTTCAAACAAAAGTAGTCAATTTAGTTGCTGTTAAATAAATTTTCAAACCAAAATTGTGATTTATCTTTGTTTGATTTGGACTTTAAATTAAAAAAGAATTTAAGATTCCTTAGCTTCTTCATTTCAACTAATTCACTTTGTAAAAAAAAAACCAAGAAATTCAGATATAAAAGAGTTTCGAAATTTATAGAATATATAAAAGAGTTTTCGAGGTATTTTAAATTAGCTATATAAAAATATGTTTAACACTTTAAAATACAAAAATAAATGAGGGGATTAATTCACACACGCCCCTTTTTAAGCTGGGTACGCCCTTTTTAATAATAATTTTTATTTTTTTTTTTAAATTACCACCAAAGAAAAGCTCATCACTAAATTTAACTTTCGGTCAAAGAAAAAAAAATACTGCTCGCCAAATTTACAAACATTTTCCTGAATACATTTTTCTCTTGCCGCAGTTTATTTGCAGCAAACGCATAAAAAAAACAACTGCAATTGCTCTAATGAAGTGTTTTTATTTGAATTGTGAGTGTTTGCAAGCAAAAACAAAAATATATTCAACATGTAATAGAAAAATATGCGTATACCCTACAAAAACAATGAAACGTTGAGCGGGCATGATCAATGCATGTGAATAAATCTTTCTCGCATCTCTCTACAATATTCTTTAGTATTTTTGTCAGTTGATCGTTTTCAGTAGTCGACGAGCTTCTTCAGCTTGGGTGGCGCGGAAATGACGACTCTGCCGCGATTACCACTACTACCACCTCCACCACCTGTTCCTCCTCCTCCTGCTCCACCACCACTGAAATGACTGCCATGAGCATGTGCCTCGTCGCGTCCTCCATGCGAGCGTTCATACTGCTGCTGTCTGTAGCGCTCCCGCTCCCGATTTCTTTCCAGGCTGCGCTCACGTTGGCGGCGTCGTCGTGTCTGGGATTGACTGCGTCGACTGCGCGATCGCCGACGATCGCGACTGCCGCTGCGACGGCGACTTTGTGATCGGCGTTTGCGTTCCATGCGACTGTTGCTGCGTCTGCTGCGCGATCGGGATCGCTGCCTTCGATTCCGGGCACTGGCACTAGCACTGGCACTGGGACTTGCACTGCGGGATCTGCGCCTCCGTTGCACCCGGCTGGTGCTTCGACGAATGCGCGAACGGGATCGGTGCCTCCTGTTCCGGCTGTGACTGTGCGATCTGCTGCGACGTGAAGTTGGTTTTGTGGAACGCGCTGGCGCCTCGGAGTCCACCGATTCCACATCGCTGTCGGAGAGTTTGCCACTGGAGGGCGTTCCATATTTGTGGCGCAATTCGCGCCGCCTGTGAATAAAGAGATGTGAGAGGGCTTTCCCTAAGAACAAAAGCCACCCACAACTGATTACTCACCTGCGCCGCAATTTCAGCGCCAGTTCGCGCATCTCATCCTCGCGCTCCTGCTGCAGCTGACGCTCCCGTTCCGATTTCTCAATCTCGGCACGTTTATCGGCCTTATCTGAAGTGAAAAAATGGGTTATTAGTCAACTGTTTCAGGAGGAGATCAGCTAGTATTTTATTGAAAGTCACACTACACTCGGCGGCTTACATTGCCTGTTTAGCAGGTTTTGCATCTTGCGCTTAAGACGCTCTCGCAGATTGGGTCGTCCGCCGCCAGTCGCCTGTCCAGATCCCTGTAAGAGTCGACAACAATTACTTAGCAAGCTTGACGCGAATGTGTGTGACAAAAAATTGGAGTCAGTTCTGGTTACAGTCGAAAGTGTCTTTGCGTAAAAGACGTGGCAACAAATAAATTGAGGAAACGTTTAGCCATATACAAAAAAAAGAAAATACATATAAAGGAAGTGTGTTTGCCTTTACAAAAAAAATAGAAAAACCCTGTGGATCTTGTACAGTCAGACCGATAATTATTCGTACACTTTTGACTTGGAAGTGTTTTCTTTACATTGGCCGATGCACTTTCAACGTGGCCATTTCTTTTTCGCCAAATTTGACACTAAAATGAAAATCTTGGACCCAAAATATCTCTTTTTCCCACAAGGGATATTAAGAGCCATATTCACCGGTTTTTTAGTATTAGTATTTTAGGGATCTGAAAATTGTATGAATAATTTTTGGGCTAAAATATTCTTACGTATGCCAAAGTGAAATTTTCTAGTCATATTAAAAATAATCTTAATTTTAGAAATAATTTTTTTAAATGAGATTTAAGAAAAATTAAAAAAAAGAGCACTTAAAAGATATTTGAATACGAATAATTATTATAATAATAATTTTTGGTCTGTGTTCGTCTGTCTGACGGAAATCATTTAAAGTTCGATTTCGAGCTCTTCAAAGTTTAGTAAATTAATTAGTGATCGCTCCAGCAACTAAGTCTAGATAATTAACTGGAACTGACTAAAAGCGTCTGCTTGGAAAATTGAAGAACTAACACTTAAAAGATATACGAATTATTATTGGTCTGTGTTTATATATTTGTGGTACTGAGTTCTGTTTCGAGCTCTTGTAAGATTAGAAAATTAATAGCTGATCGCTATAAAAACTAAATCTCCTTGAGAAATAATTGCAATATCGAAATAATTATTGTTTGTGGAACTGACTAAAAGCATTCGCTTGGCAAAAAAAAAAATGTGAATACCCTTACTGGAGAACAATAACCATTTGATAGAGGAAAATCACACATCATAAAACTAAATGCTAAAGTTTTAGGGCATAAATGGACAGATCTGGGAACTATATGTACATATACAAGGAGTAAGAATGCTGCAAGGATATGGGTCGCGTCTACGTCTGGGATGATCAATTGGTATTGATGGTTGTGCCATATGCATATTGGTTGATTGGTGTTCGACTTGGATGCACATTGATTTGGATAGTTTTTTTGTTTTTGATTTTTTTTCTGTTCTTTTTTTGGTTTTTTGGTTTTTGTATTTGTGGGTAGAGGCGTGAAATTTTGTGGTGTACTCCAGTTACATATTTGAGGCAATGGGACACTTTGGTTTTGCTTACTGACTTTGGTTTCGGTAGCAGAACTATATTTGCCTGTTTGATTACCCGTGCTGGATGACGACATCAATGGCTGCGAGCGCTCCGAGCTGAAAGCAAATACTTTGCATTAATTATCAAAAGAAAAGCAAACACTTGAAAAATAAACATTAAAAAGTGGAAAAATTAAATATTTTGGGTTTCTGCTTTGGTTGCTCAACTTTACCACACGGCTGCCGTCACTTACGCAGTATCCACATCCAAATCCTCGGAATCATCACGTTCTCGGCCGCGCAAAGATTTGCCCGGCAGCTGTTTGGCTGCTGCTGCTGCTGCCGTCTCCTCCTCCTCATCCGCGTCGCTATTGCCGCTGCTCTCCGGCGACGAGGAGGATGTGTCGTTGCCACGCTTGCGTCCATAGTAGCGCTTCAGTGGCGGCGGAGGCGCCTCCGTCACCTGTGGCACCAAACCCGTTGTGCTTGTCACCGCCGGCGTTGCTGTTGTCAGGCTGAGCACACGCGTCGACAGCGGATAGCTGATCATGGGCACAGCTGGTGGAGCTACGGGTTTCGGCTGTTGTTGTTGTTGCAGTTGCAGGTGTTGCTGCTGCTGCTGTTGCTGCTGTTGAAAGTGCTTCAGTTGCACAGTCGCCGTTGTTGCCAAAATTGTGCTCGATGTTGTCGTTGTCGTTGTGCTCAGGCAAATTGTTTTCTGTGTGGCTGGTGGCGTTGTTAGCTTCTTAACGCGACTCGGACGCCGTTGACTGGCGCGCGACTGGGAACGGGAGCGGGGACCGGTGCGAGAGCGGGATCGGGAGCGTGAACGTCGTCGCCTCGACTGCGTGTAAGAGCTGACACTGGAGCTGCGCGAGGAATACGAGTAGCGTTTCCGTGATCTCTTATAACTGGGACTGCGCGAAGTGTAGCGCGGCCAGGAGCCGGAACGGGAGCGTGTACGGCTACGGCTGCGGCTGCGGGAGCGGGAGCGTGAATTCGATCTTGATCTTGTATAGTATCTGCGTCGGCGACGACTGCGTGTCCGGCTCCGGCTGCGGCTGCGACGATGATAGCTGCGACGTCGACTCCGACGACGGCTGGGGCTGCGGGTGGTGCTGTGGGAGCGTCGGCGCCCGCTGCGCTTCGCCGTCTCGTTCATCAGCTGCAGCTTGTCCAAATTGTCCTTGACCTTTTGGGCATAGGATACGGCGGAGGCAGCTGCAGTGGCTGCAGCAGTTGCTGCACCGCTGCTTGCATTAATACACGACTCGCCCAGCGTCTGACCGGGTTTGCTCAGATTGATGGTGATCTTCGAATGCGGCTGCATCTCGTCCTCGCCGCCAAATGAGGTAATGTACGTGATCTTTTCGCCACCGCCCTCGGCAGGCGATGGCGAGCGAGACTCGGACTCCTCGTCCTTGTCCTTGCTTTTGCCCTGATCCTCTTTGGCCGCATAGCTGGGCGGACTGAACGGCCGATTCGCGATGCGTCGCTCCTTTTGGGCACGTCGCTCGCGACGCGACTTGCGACCGCTTAACAGCATCTTCTCCTGCTCCTCCTCGCGGGCAATCCGCAGCGCATCCGCCTCGTCGGCATCCTTGGTCAAGTGCGAGAAGAAATCGTTGCTCTTCATGCCATAGTTGCGACCGCAAGCATTCAGCTCGTGTGCCTGCGTCGTGTCCAGTTTGCCAATATCAATGGATACATCCATATCGATATCCGAATCGGATTCATCCGAATTCTCAGCCTTATCGCCAACGCCGCCGCCGCCAGCGGCAGCCGCAGCAGCAGCTGTGCTGCTCGTTGCCGGCGCCGTACCAAATGGTTGCGGTCCAATCGCCACCGTGGCCACCGTCTCCCCAGCATCGTCATAGGAATAACCAATGGTTGCACCACCCGCGCTGCTCTTCTGTTTTTTCTTGCCCAAATTGCGTTCCGCCTCGAGCTGTGCGTTGGCGCCGAACTGCTCCTCCAGATACAATTGATGCAGAAACTTATCCTCGCTCACATTGAGAAAATCATTCTGAGCCAAGATGCGATAACGTTCATAGTTCAACTGGCGCTCCTCCGCCGTCAATTCCGCATCGTCATCGTGGCCAGTCAATGCCGCCTCGCCGCTGCTGGTGCTGCTCTTTGTCACGGGCGCAATATAATCCAAATGGGCACGCACATCGAAGCGATCGATAAGATTGTCCTGATTACCTTGCCAAGGCACACTGTAAGAAATGCAACAAACAATTAACAATTTCCGCACTTTTTTTAAACAGTTATATTTTATATTTGTAATTTATATAGTTAAAGCGGCACTCAATATGACTTGCATGATTGCGTCTCCATCGCCAGCGGCTGCGACGGCCGGATCTAAATAGATTTTACTTCGCCGGCCGTGCAGCTGCAGGAATTGTGTGGGATCTGCTTGGATTTTATCGTAGAAATATTGCCGGCGCTCGGCACGCTTGCGATAGTCCACGATGAGGCCGCGTATGCGGCGTTCCTGTTTGCGTGCTTCGTGCCACATAATTTTCCCATTTAATCCAAAAAAAATAACTAAACCGAAAGAATATCAAACTTATCACAGCGAAAACTTTTCACGTTCACACACGCTCGGCCGGCAAAAATCGTCTATTTTTCGTTTATCAAGTGACTCGTTTCCATTGCGTCTCGGCGTCAGTGTTGTGAAACGTTGCAAATGCGACGCCCTGAATTGGAACTGGTTCCGCTGACAATGCTCGATTTTTGCCCAGCGATAAGGGCAGATTTCAAATTAATTGGGCTTAATTAAAAAATAAAGAAAAAAGGATGGTGGTTGCAAAAACATATATTGACATGCAAGAAAGAAAAACCAATTTATAATAAACGGAATCAAGAATAATATTTTTTTGCATGCCGGCTGAGTGCGGCACACAATTGCGCATGTCCTAGCTCGTGTGGGGTTGGGGTGGAAACGGAAATAAAGGATAATAAATAACTGGCAAAACTGGAATGAGCCACAACACAACACAACATAGAGCACAAAACAACAATTGTCAGTTTGCTGCCGCTGCCGCTGCTCTTGTTGCCGCTACAACATTTTGCGGCATCGATTTTGAGGACACATTCACATCCTGCTCATCCTTAGCCAAATAATAGCAAAAAAAAATATATAATAAGAAACTAGCACAACCAGTTTTCGCTCCTGGATCCAGTTTTGTCGTCTAATGTCTGCTAGACGTTACTATTTCGGAGCAGAGAAACGCTACAACAACTCCGGCGAGGGGCAGGACGATCAAGCCTTGCACGATGATGTCCCCTTGTTTCCCAACAGCAGCAACAACACCAACAACAACATTAACAACAACAACAGTAAGAGCAACACTAACAATGACGATACGAACAATGAACCCGAGCCGGATGGCGACAAGGACGATGACTCTGAATTTCTGCAGGAGGTGCCATACTCGTCCAGCAGCATCGATCGCAGCTCCATTGGCTCCATACCCTGGGCGGACGATGCCATCAAGAAGAACAAACTCGATTGGGAGCGCGTCGATCGTATGCTGAGCGGCGAGGAGCAGCTGCCGGACCAGGAGCAGGAGTTGCGACATGAAATCATCGATTGGCAGCACAAATTTCCCAGTCTGTTGACGCGCAAAGCGCAGCCACTGAAACAGCAAAGTTTTGACAGCAGCCACCGCAACAATCCGGCACCCGATGAGTCGGGAGACATTGATTCCATCTCCGATCTGAGTCTAAACTCGCTGGATGACTTTGATGAGGGCGATGAGGAGGAGGATGATGGCTTTCTCACCCCAACCGTTGACCGTCAGAGGGAACAACGGGAGCCAACCCGTAATTATACACGTCCTGGCCCGAATCTTGTGGCGATACTCGACAGAGACTTACACATCACATCTGTAGCGCTCAAGCTGAGGAGGCGGGAGCCTCCGGCGGCGCCAGCAGCACCAAGCACACCTCAATCCGCAACCGTTGCCCGCTCCCGTCTCCGGATGCCGCCCATTCTTAATGTGCTCGACTCGAATCGACGCTTTCGGGGATTGCTCAACAATCGCAGCTTTGTGCAGCTGACACAGGTGCAACAGCAGCCCAAGTCAGCGGCCCTAACATACGCGGAGAGACGCCAACAGACTGGCATTCGATCCGCCTGGAATATGCCAATGGCTGCCAGTCGATTCCTAAACAACAAGCATGCGATTGTGTTGCCATCGCTGAACCGGCATCCCAGGGAGTTTAGCACCAATGACATGACGACAACGACGACCGCGTCCAATCAGAGCATTTCGAGCAATCGGGATTCGTTGGGCCATGGCACCCGACGTGGCCAGCAGCAGCAGCAGCAGCGGGATCTGCAGCAGCGGGATCAGCAGCAGCGTCAGCATCAGTATGGCCTGGCCCTGGACCAAGTGGTGACCACTAATTCAAATACACCATCAACGGGTCGTTCCATATCGGCTGCCATCCATCATCCGCGATCGGAGTTTGCCAACAGTAGTGCCTTCTACATACCGTACAGTGCCTCAAAATTTAAAGCCTTTAAGTAGCCAAATAGTCTCATCTTGTATACACAACAACAACAACAGCAACAACAACTAGCAATAAAGTTTGACCAAATTGCAGGGATGAAATATTATAATAATTCTTCACATCTGTCTTGAGGGGAACTAAGAACTTATCGGGAACATAACATGCCCTGCCAAATGTGAATCTCCATTGTATTTAATATAATCTTCATATAGCTATAAATGTTTAGTTTGACAGTGGATTTCTTGTATACAAAAAATGTTTTTTTTTTTTTTTTTTACCAAAATATTTTCACAAAGTAGATGCCCCTTAAAAGAATACAAGGGTATTTAATCTTCTGTTTTACCCCGAAGATAACCTTTCAAATTTTCAAGATTTCTTTTGTGATTGTACAACAACATCTCTCAAGAAGATGAAGGACGTACGCCGGGAGGTGAAGGGGTCAACTGTACCCGTCCACTATCTCAACTTTAAAGACACAAAAAGCGGATTTGATTAAAATTTAAGAAAATGTTAAAATCGGGCCCCCTTTACGAAAAGATTGTTATGCCCTTGCTTTAGTCTACAGATTAGATTTAATTCTATTTAAAAGAGTTCAAACTGATTAGCCAAACAGTAAAATTCCCATTATATGTTAGACGGAATTTTTAAATATTCGATCTCCAAAGTCGAAAGAAAGTTATACATCAAGAAATATTAACTTGATTTTTTGATAAACCAAGTTATTTTTTATCTGATTTGCTTATATTGAAAATTATTAGTTGAAAAATGCTTACACATTTTTATTAATGGAAGTTGGGAAGTCAAACTTAAATTTTCGTGAAATTAACTTAAAACTCGAATTGTAAGCGGTGTTTTATTGTTTTTAGAAAATATACTCGACAGGCGGCCTTCTAGTTTAGTAAGTATTAAAAATACATTTTATATTCGCCTCCTTATAACATCGACTATTAATAAATTAAAAAACCTGCTTTAAATTTGCAGAATATAAAGTCGACATTTTAGTAAGACGCTTTTTATAATATTATTTAAAGGCTTAGGTTGTCCAGACGCAGCCGGCCATCGTTCTCGGTTAGATATAGTGTGTCCGCCAAGCATTGTTCCGTGATCAGCTCCTCCACGCGCTCATTCATCTAGGGTCGGACACATATAACGAGATTAGCAAGCGAGATTAAGACAGATATATATATATATAATTATATATATATATGAACTTACGCCCTTGGCCTTGCGTTCGGTTAACGCTTCGGGATATTTGAAGGCTGGGCCAAAGTTCACACTGACCGTGGCGCTCTTGTGTATGGAAATGGCCGGAAAATAGCTGCCCCCATAAAGATCCTCGAAAGCCACGCCCTGCGACTGTCCATTCTTGAAGAACTCAATGCGACTGCCGCTCAAAATGTGCAGGTTTTTAAGGGTCTCTGTAATTTTGTCCTTGTCCTCGTAGTACAAATGCGATTTGAATTTAACGAGCGGCTAATCCAAATTGTAAAAAGGGAAAACCAATCAAATCATGATTAAAAATTTGCAGCTAATGCGAGGAGAGACCTACGCGATCTTTGAATGTGTTGGGCAGATAGTTGAGGGTGGGCAACTCGGGTAGCTCGATGAGCAGGCCCAGTGTGTCGCCCTCACCATAAGCCTCACTGTAGTGCTTGCCGTGGCTCTCCGTGAACTTGGTGCCCTTGCGCGATCGCCAGGAGTAGCCGAATTTGTCATAGCCCAGCGGCGCCTGCAGATTACCATATTCCCGTCCCCAGCCGATACGAGTCGCTGCACCCTCCGGCATTTCCTCAATGGTGATCTCGTAGTACCAGCTGCCGCGATTCACAGCTGAACACAAATTAAATAAATTAAATCGATTTACACTCGAATTCCTGGTTGTAATCCGTGGATTAACTTACAGTGGGTGGCGCGCACTTGAGAATATCCACGCTCGCCGGTCACCGCCAGGCGATCCTCGCTAATCTTTAGCTGCGGCGCACGATCGTGCAGCGCCAGGAGCACTGCGTGTGGTACCAGCGTCCGATATAGCCAGCCGGGTATGGGTTTGCCCGCCCAGTCGGCGCTCTCATCGAACTCCTGGCGGAACGGCGCATGCGGATCGGGCTCGGCGAGTATGTAACGATAGCCATCCTTATTGAATGGATGCTCCAGCGGATAACCATGCGGCGGCAGTTTCACATTGGCCGTCACATCCGAGCTGGGGCGACCCTTCTTGCCCGTCGGCCCAGCATCGGTGCCCGGAAATTTGCGCTTCTGTCTGTTGCTCTTGGCGAGCGTGGCTGCAAAAAAAAATCCGTGTAAAAGTCTATAAGTTGATGTACGTGACTAGAGAGTGGTTGGGTGGGTGGTGGTTGAGTGGGTGGTTGTCAATGTGTTGAGCAGGTTACTCCACTTACAGTCTTCTTCGCTGCTGGCAAACGACGCTGAACTCTGAGTTGACGTCATCGCAAGGACAATAAAAACATATATATATTTATATATATAAATGTGTGTTTGTGTATGTGGAAGAAAGAGCGTAATTGCGACGCGCTTTAAATCAATAAGCTAGCGACAGACAGCAAACAGCGCACACTTAACGAGCCACAGCCAAAAAGAGCAACAACAATAAAAATAAATATGTATATATAACGCAACTATCAATTAATTATTAGTGTAATGAACAAGTTCCGTTCGCGAGCCCCACCCACCCCGTTCTATAGTTCTTTGTTTGTTGTCTTTTTTGGTTATTGTTGTTGTGGGTGTGTGGTCAGAAGACGACGACAAATAAGAAACTACCGCGAAACGTAATTACGATCAGCTTTCGCTTAGCCGGAATTGCGAAAAAAAATACAATCAACGACGAGAGCGCAAAAAGTGTGAGAGAGAGAGAGAGCGCGAAGAGCAGCGAGCGCGAGCAATGAATTTAATCTTAGAAACACTCAACATAACAATAACAACAACAACAAAATGTGCATAGATAACTGCCGCATGAGCAGAAACAGAGAAATGAAACACACACACACAGGCACACACACGACGCACGCAAAGCATGTTTAGAAAGAGCGTGCAAAAGGAATGCGATGAATAAAAAATAGACATTGCATTAATTGGATTTCATGGCAAATTTAGCCAAATTGGACCCACTGTGCACGCTCAGCTGTAACGAATGGTGGGCACAACAGAAATGATTGCCACAACTGATTGCCAAGCACCGATTTATGAATACCCTTTAAGTTCGTAATTATGAATAAATTAGCAAATTGTTTTGGTTTAATGTCGTTTAATACTCACCTTGTATGTAACCATCCTCGGTAAGGCGCAATGCGCCCGTTTTGCTCATAACCTCGTAGTTGGGTTTGATCTGGCGCAGATCCTGATGGAAAAGCCCGTACATGGCCCCATGCTCAGCGTGCTCCTCGTAGACGAACAGCGTGTTGACATCCTTGATCAGCGATCGCTGCACCGTCGAGTACCAGGACTGCGTCAACCGTCGCGGCATCGTGGTCATTGCCTCCCAGTTTTGCTCAATGTAGGGTATAATCTCCTTGTCCTTGCTGAACTGTATGTGCTGCTTGCCATCGCGTAAAGCCGCCTGCTGCATATTCGCAATCGCGCACTGGCACATCTGAGATATTGCTTAAAGAGTGAAATACAAATACAGACAGTGAATAATTTATAATGAGCAATTTTATATTAGCCACTTACTGGCCTGACTTTTGCGAAAGCTTTCCAGGCCGGTGCCCGAGCAATTTTTGCACACAAATATATAATTGGAGATAAAGGGCAGTATTTTGCCCTTGCCTAGTTGATATGTTATGCAGGTCTCATGCACCCATCGCGAGCATGTTGCACACAGCAGCTCGATCAGGTTGAGGTTGCGTTCCTTGCCACTAAAAAATATAGAAAATTGCTGCTTATCAGAGAATCACAACGTCTGGTCACATTTGTGCGCATACCAATAACAAATGCCGGCTGTGGTCGGCCTGTCGCTGCCTTCCCCAACTACAGCTGCGCAGCCGACGGTGGCAGAGGTACGTTGCTCTTGCAATTGCATTTTCTCGTCGTCGGTGTTGAAGCTGAGCTCGGTGGTGGCCTCAGAAGGTGAGCTGGTCTCCATTCCGCAGTCGTCCATGCTTAATTATGGAATCTAATTGGATGTTTTATTCACAAAATATGTAAACAAATGAATTGTGCTGTCAGAATAAGTTGCCAAATCGGCGGCGATTTATCGAAAATTGTTCAAGTGAACAAAGTGAGCTATCAAAATTTGGTCACCCCAGAATGTTCAATGGTTCAATGTTAATAAGAGCGCGCTCTAAGGAACGATAAAAAGTGCCGTTACTCACTTTCTAATCCGAAAAGATGTTTCATTTGATTAATAAAGTTTCGCGAAAAAGAGTTTAACAGTGTAATGCAAAGAGTTAATCTGAAAGACCCTCCAAGTGGAATTTAAAAGCAGCAAAGAAACTCCATTCATATAAAATTATCAACAGCGACTTTACAGACAAGTTATTGCTTAACGTCTTATATTGATATTTTCATCTATGATAGCTAGTTCAACGTTTAATTTAAAAAATAGTAAATGCCGGTTGGGTGAGTGAATTGTCAATTTATCGAAGTTCCATCGCGTATCGTCTGCAATCCACAGAGTATCGTATCTCACACACACAGACATTTAGAGTTGCCTTCAAAATAGTCGGCCAGCCGCCACACTCGCTGCCCGTCTATCGGTCGTGTAGTAGCGATGTTTCTTATCGACAGAAAATATATCTAGAAAATATATCAAATCATAAAAATTTACTAGAATTTAAGAGAATTTTTTATATATGCAATGCTAGACAAGTACGTATTGTGTGCATGAGAGTGAGTGGCATTAAGTTCGCAATATAAATGGAATTGCTTGGAAGCAACAAACGACTGACGATATCAAATAAAAGCCCACCAACAAATTCGACTTTGCGACAACGGCAAACGCTGGCAGAGGCGAAGGAGGCAACGGCAACGGCGAATCAAACGGATCTTAAGAAGTAGAAGCAGCCGCCGCAGCAGCAGCTACGGCTTTCGGTATAGCCGCACCAAAAACAACCAGAGCACAATGTGCGAGGTTTGCGCCGATTTCCAAAATCTATTGGAGCTGTGTAAGTAGCTACAAAAAAAAAAAAGAAAAAAAGAGAAAAAAGAAAAGCAAAATCGTGAAAAATATTGCTTATAATGTGTCGGCTTTACACTGTGACAACTGTCTAAATGTGCGCCCACACCTCCCCCATACCCCACCCCCAATCCCCCCTCACATACATACACTTTGTATTTTTCAGATGAGGTGCGCGTGGCCAGTTCGGAGCTTAAGTTTCAGCTGCTGCTAAAGAGCGAAATTGAGACGACATTCAACTACATTCAGTCGTGGCCACAGCGTCAGTGCATGTGCTTGTATCGTGACAACAAGAACTATGATCGTTTCAATCTGGTGGTGCAGTCGCTCATCTGTCTGACGGTGCAGCATTTGAAGCACATCGATCATCTGATCGACAGCTATAAGCGTTTGACTGCCAGCGCAGCGCAGGTGGTCGCCCAGGCGCAACGGAAGCCACCAGCACCGGAAAGGGAGGCACACAACGACAATGACAGCGAAAGCGAAAACAAGTCCAAGGAGCAGCTGGCGTCCTCGTCGTCGTTATCATCGTCATCGCCGACTTCTGCCCGCGCCGCTGATGAGAACAAAGCCAAGCTTGCGGACGGCAGCGGCGATGAGGAGAAACGTGCCTCGGGCGATGGCCCCGGACCGCCAAAGAAGCCACCAACAACACCGCCACTGCCAGCCCCACCAAGTAGCACCAAATCACATCCACAATACACCGAAGAGCCATGGATACTGCCGGAGGTGGAGAAGCTGCTCGTTCTCGTTTCCAAGGTATTTCTACTCAACTTTCCGCTGTACATTGCCCACAAGCACGGCATGCACTCCCGCCTAGACGATCTACAGGCTGACGAAGCGCACCACTTGGCCCTAATCTGCGATCTGCACGACAACGATCTGCCCATCTACCTGCTGCGCAACGTGAGTCTCTTCTGCAATTCGGGCGGCTTTGGCGCCATGTCCCTCTGCTTCGAGCATCCCGATTTGCCTGTGTCCACGGCACACTCCATGACTGCCACAGTGTCGAATGTGAAGCTCTGGCTCAACTATCACTGCAACACCCAGCTCTTTGTGCCACTCCGCAGCCGCATTCTGCAGTACATGTGCAAGCTATCCGATCAGAATCTGCGTTCAGCGGCGACGCGTGCCATGGCTGACTTTGTGTGGTCCTCCATGCGGGATCCCCTCGACGTGGCCGTCAACTTTGATACCGAGGGCCTGGCGCTGGCTTTCAAGTATTTCACATCCACCACACTGACGATGCGTTTGGCGGGTGAGTGCTCGGATGAATTGAATGCATTTTAAATATTTGCTAAATATTCTTAGTATTCATATTCTTAAGCTTCGCTTTCAATAATCGCTTAAATTATGAGATGTCTTAGAGTTAATTTAGATGCCTCATCTAGCTAAATCTCAAATTTATCATTTAAATATCTAACGTATTTCACTTAAGTTAAGTTTTAAATATTTGCTAAATTTGTATTTATAAACATCGCTTTCAATTATAAAATAATATTAACAGATTAAAGTAGAAGATGGGTTACTGGTTATTTTGATGCCTAATAAGTGCTTAGAATGGCTCAAGTTAATCATTAAAATGCAATATACATAAATTATTTGTATCTTCCGGAGCAACTGGTTTTGTGTAAATATTTTTAATGTCAATAATCAATCGTCAATAATCAAAAATCAATTGGAACTTTACCTTAATTGTTTCATCTTTTTTTTAGGCATGGCGCAGATCAATGCTCACATCAATTTATTCAATGAGATCTGCACAACGGAGACGGTCAATGAGGTGGAGCTGTTTGGTCAGCGCATTGCCAACTGGCTGACGGAGAATCAGATTGTGCAGCATCTGTTTGGGCCGAATCTGCACGTGGAGATTGTGAAGCAGGCGCATGTACTTCTTAACTTCCTGGCCGTGGAGAATCAGATCTCCGAGGAGGACATCAAGCTAATTTGGCAAGCAACGCAGCTGAAGCACTGCTCGAAGACCATATTTGATATTTTACCGGCACTCGTAAAGAATCTGGCACCGCGTCCGGCCATGCATTTGTATTCGCTGCTGTGCCGCATGGATCCCAAGGAGCACACGGAGCAAAGCATTTACATTGCCTCCGCCCTGACCAAGTTGATTTGGACGCGCGATTGCACGCGCAGCCAAATGAATTTGATGCAAGACCATTTGCTTGGCTCGAATGTGACGGCCTCCAGCTCGGACAGCGGCAGCATTGAGGGTAGCAACACCGAGGATGATCATGTCGGTGCCGACGACAGCAGCATTGCTAGTGGTGGTGGCGGTGGCGGTGTCAGCGGAGGAGGTGGTGGTGGTCACAAAAGTCCCGTCGATGGGGTAACACCTTGCAAACAGGCCAGGCACAGGCGGCATATTTGTGATCCCACCACCGAGAAGGTCAAGCAACTGAGTGGCGAGGACATGGCCAAGGTGGACATCAAGTAAGTCCAATTGATGATATACAATGTGAGATTTAATTATTGTCTGACTGATTCGTTTCTGTTTGTGCTTGTAGAAACCATCGCATTGTGAACATCATCGACAACACCAGCAGCGAGGAGGAGTTGCAATCGCGAGCTGCTCTCGAGCTGCAGATGCATCGCAAGAAGACGAGCAACAAGCGCCGCCGGCCAAAAGCCAGCAGCAACAAACAACAGCAGCTGTTGCTGCCGCATGAGCTCGTCGAAATATGGGACGGTGCCGAGGATGTGCCCAGCAGTGATGACGGCGATGCCGATGGCGATGGCGAACTGCTCGCAGACAGCGATGAATGCAGCGATGGCGCCGGCCATCAACTGGTGCCCGCCGCTGTCCTGAAACATTTGCACGGCGAAGGACCGTATATACGTGCCATTGCCGAGACGAACATCAGCGAACTGTTGAGCGGCGCCGAGAATGATGGCAGTTATTCCTCGCCCATGAGCAATAAATCGGAGAAGAATCTTGCCGACTTCGATGACGAGGATGTGTCGCCGTGCGAGGAGGAATTGGCGCAACTTGTCAATTCTCATGTGGGCCGTGTGACTGCCCCAAATTGTGATGTTGCACCGGGCTTTGCAGCTGCCGCCGCTGTTGCTCTGATGGCCGTACAATCCGCCGTGGCCATGCAAAAGTCCGGTGAATCGAATGTGGCTGTTGCCGCCGCTGCTGTTGCCGCAGCCGCTGTTGCCACCGGCAATGCGCAACAATCGTTGGCGGCCATGCGACATCAGGCGAATGCAGCGGCCGCCGCTGCTGCTGCCGCCGCTGCCAAATCAAAGTCGGACTCCGATGTGGATCTCATGGAGGGCAGCAACAAGCAGCAGCACTCACCCAAGGCGGCCAACAATCAGCCCTCCTTCAAGCTCAACGATGTCTGCCAGCCTGGCAATACGCTACTCTGGGATCTGCTGCAGGATGACAAAATTGTGAGTATATTTTAAATGAATTTGAGCTCAAGATTAAATTCCCAAAATTAAAAAGATCTTGTTCCTTGGTATTTAATACTCAAATACGAGACTTTCATAAATATTAAACAAATTGGCTTTTATTTTTTCTTTGCTGATGAAGGCAACCCAAATCTGATTTTAAAATACTTTTTATCTATTATTTTACTAAATATTAATTGAGGGCAAATCTTGATAGACTCCCAAACTGGAGAGATCTTATCCTTAGCTATGAAATATGAATCAAAACTTAAAGGATCTTATTTCTTTGGTATTTATTCTTTGACTTTTATCTTTGATTAATATTAAATTCTTAAAGTATAAATCTGATTTTAAAGTAGGCGAGGTTTGAGGTATATCTTAGCTTAGCCATATTTATCCTTCAGGTTTAGGAATACAATCATTGAGTGAATCATGTATTGATTAAATTTCATGCATTGTGTTTTCAGGGTCAACTTGGCGAATCTCTGGCATTGGAGGCGGAGAAGGCACTGGCGACGCTGCTATGCTTCAGCATGGACCGCCAGCTGCGCACAAAGTTCATTGAGGGTTGTCTGCAGAACGTGGCGAACAATCGCAGTGTGATTGTCAGCTTGAGATTGCTGCCGAAGCTGTTTGCGTCATTCCAACAGTTTCGGCAATCGGACACACACACAATGACGATGTGGGCAGAGCGCAATCATCGCATGATGCAGTGCTTCTTCAACAACATTCGCCACTATGCCAGGCGGCATGCGGAGCTGCTGATCAATCAGAATGGGGAGCAGCAACAGCAGCAGCTGGGCCTTCAGCTATACTCGCACAAGACGCAAGTTTCAGTGCGGCTGCAGTTTCTGTCATCGATCTTCTCGTCGGTGGGCTCGCCAAAGAACTTTCGCCTCACGTTGGACCAGTTGGACGCACTGTGGGAGTGGCTAGCGCATGATCCCGAGTGCTCCGACTGCTATTTCTCGTGGCTACAGGCGCAAACCAAGGGCGGCGATCAACATGCCCTCGGCATCGATGCCCTGCAACATTTATACTTGAAAAAGCTACCGGAACTGCGACCCGAAGAGTTCTCCATGGTGGCGTTGGGCCTGTTCCAGCAACTGTGCAGTTTCGCCCGCATCGCCATGGCCGAGTACGAGAAGCACAGCGATGCCATCACCGCCAATTCCAGTGCCGTAGGCATGTACCACTTGTGGCAGATCGCATTGCGTGCCCAGAGCAACGAGGTCTCGCTGGCAGCGATCCAATACATCAACATGTACTACATGGGCCAGCAGCTGCGCCTGGAAAAGGAGTTTGTCTCCCAGTGCATGGACAACTTGGTGCAGGCGGCAACAGCATTGGAATGGTAAGTTGCAACCAATCGAGATTTCAATAAAATTGCATAAAGAGAATCTGGCATTTGGAATAGGTGCAAAAGAACTTCTAGCTCCATACATGGATAGACTTCTCCTTGTTGACACAACCTCCAAAATGAATGTAATGATTACAATAGACTTTATCATGCAATCAATTTAGACTGCTCTATCATTAGGAACTACACTTTAAACTTATTGTCTCCGGAATAATATTTTCGCTTGCATTTGTTGTTGGGCATATTCTAATTAATACTAATTATTTTGTTTTTCCCAATTCGTGCAACAAATGTTGGACCATTTTGCACTTAAATACCCTCCGAAATCTTGTAAATAATTCTTATTTTTATTTATTTATTTTATTTTATTGAAATTCTACTATTTGTATTTTCCTGTGCCGATTGATTTCAGTTGACATTAAATAAATAATAATTATGATATCATTTGTATGCTTTGTGGTACTATAAAGCTTTATCCGTGGCTAATGTTTTTCTTTGCGTATTGTAACCACATTTTAAATTGTGTATAGCAAATCTCTATTTCTAATCTCAAAGAATTTTAAAAGCAAGTTGGAATCTGCTTGGTTGAGAGAAAATAATGTTTCGCCAGCCGGATTTTTAATATTTAATTTACAAATTAATTTTACTCACAAAATCCTTTAGTCCAAACAAGATTCGTTTTTATATTTTGGAAAAGATTTTCATCTTATGATCTTTAAAATTTCCCATTTTATATTTGGCAGAGTATTGATCTGAAGATATTTTAAAATTATGATTATGCCTCTAGATAGATTCTTAATAACTCTTTTTTTTTAAATGATTAAGAATATTCAAAAATGTTTATGTATGAACTTAACATCTATAAAAAACCCACAAATATTTACATATACCTGTACTCCATTTAAATTGTAAACTAAAATCATTTAAATTGTTATATTTTTGCAGCATTGAGGATGAGAATGCCTTGATGCGAGTACAGCGTGGCTTGCTGCTGTTGAATACGCATCTGGACACGTTTAGGCGACGCTATGCCTTCCACTTGCGGCGCTGGGCAATCGAGGGCAAGGGGATTGGCTCGCACAGCAATTTGAAGAACGAGGGCGCCGGTCCACCGTTGAGGATTGTGCTGCAACAGGCTGGGCTATCGGAGAAGAGTCTGCTGCAGATGCATGCCTGTGATCTGATTGCCGATCTCAAGGCGGAGGTGTCCAAGTGGTGGGAGAGCCTGCAGTCGGGCATGACGGCGCCGGTGCTGGGCCTGCTCTTAAGCGACGGTCCGCTGCGGATAATAACACAGGGCCAGGAGCTCACCTCGGACTATGATGAGCGGACGTTGGGCGATGCCGGCTTCAAGGACAATCAGATTGTGTACGTCTCGTTGGGCGGACGTGGTGCGCGGCGCAAGGAGACAAATGTGGAGCATCCATCGATGTTGCCGCCACCGCCAAAGGAATGCCTGCCGACGGTGCTACTGCTGCAACCGAAATACTTTGAGAAACTCTTCTGTCTGATGCAGACGCTGGGCGACATGAAGCCGCAGTCGTCAACGGTGCATCTGCAGCATCACACCAAGGCACAGCTTTTGTCGCGCCGTGTTTGGGACATATTAGCGATGCTGCCGACGAATCCGCACATTTTGGATGCGTTCAAGAATCTGGTCAACGATCTCAATGAGCTGCAGCAATTGGACGCCGTCGGCGATCAGGAGCAGCTGGCCAACAAGCGCAAGCAAATCAAACAGAAGTTCAACGAACTGCTCGATCCTAGCAATCTGCAAAAGTTCATGTACTCCCTGCACATCGTCGAGAGCCTGGCGCTGAGCAGCGCACCGCGTCAAGCGGCTGCTGCCGGCGCTGCTGCGACCGGTTCCAATGGCAGTCTGGTCATTGTGGAGCAGCCGCGTCTTAAGAAGGGCACCAACCGCCGGCACAACAGCAACGAGCAGCCGCCGGAGCCAAAACGGAGCAGCAGCAGCAGTGATTGCAGCAAGGAGCTGATCGGCTGCTCAGAGCTGGATACGACGACGACGACACAACCATCGACGCCACGCTCCGGCAGCGATGCGGATGTCACCGAATTCCAGTCCAGCGGCGGCGACAAAGAGAACCATCCCAAGCAGATTAGCAAGCGGCAGAAGAAGATCGATGCACCGATCGAGCTAGAGCGTCCAATTGGCTGTGTGACACCACCACCGCCGCCAGCAGCGCCGGCGGCAGCAGCAACCATATTGCCAGCGGCGACAGCGGCGGCGCCCGTGCGCAGTGTGCTGCTCGGCGAGAGCAGCAAGTGGAGCGAGGCATTCATAAAATGCGGTGGACTGCAGCATCTGTACGAGATCTTCAGCGGCGGCCAGCTGCAGCAGAGCGCCCATGCCAAGGAGCTGGCGCTGAACGAGTGGCGTCACGACTGCCTCGCCAGCCTGTTACGCATCCTTTGGCTGTTGGGCTTCGAGGAGCTGCAGACGCAGGATGCACACGTGCTGATGTCGCGACCGCATGCCTTCATGCTGCAGCTAATGGAGGTGCCACAGTGTCTGCAGCGTCTCTCGAGCATTCTCAGTGATGAAGTGCATCAGCATTTGTCCACCGGCGCCACCTCGTTGGTGTTCCCCTATCAGTTCCATCAGCTGCGTACTGGTTTCTGGGGACGCGCCCAACTGGTACAGTTCACCATGAATATTCTGGTGAGCTTTGTGCATGCCTCGTCCGAGGCGCGTCGTCTGCTCTGGTCCCAGCCGGAGCAATGCACGTGGCTGCAGAAGTTCATACTCGAGGATCCGGAGCCGGCGGTGCGCCGTGAAATCTGCGCCGGTCTCTATCGCATCTGTTTGGGCAATGCGCAAAGCTATCGTCTGCTGTTGGCGCCGCTGCTGCACAAGCTGATCGCCCTGCTGCCGCGTGCCGAGCAGATGAGCTCCTCGGTGCAGCACACCCAGTTTCTGCTCTCCGAGGAGGGCAAGGAGCCGTATGGACCGGCGTGTCGAGATTACTTCTGGCTGCTGGCGCGACTCGTGGACACCCTGACGCCCGAAATGGTCGCCGAGGAGCGCATCGATATCGAGCTGCTGTGCGAGAGCATCTCGGAGAGCATTCTCGGCCGGGACTATCACGAACTGCGGCACGGCTATCAGGATGATGGCCTGGTCGGGCTGCTAAATCTCATGTCGAACCTGATCAAGTACGACACCAGTTACAAGTACAGAACGAAGGCGCTCAGTTTCATTGAGCAGCTCATCGAGTTTCTGTTCGAGATGCCCTCACCGGCCAACCGGCAGAAGCCCAAATGCAAATCGGCCACATCGCGTGCCGCTGCATACGATCTGCTCGTAGAGCTGTCCCGCGGCTGTGCCACCAACTATGGCTATCTGCATGGTCGCCTGCTGGCGCAGCACAAGTCCGGACCCAAGCAGCCGTATCCCTGGGACTATTGGCCACGTGACGAGGGCCGTGCCGAGTGCGGCTATGTCGGCCTAACGAATCTGGGTGCCACCTGCTACATGGCCAGCTGCATACAGCATCTGTACATGATGCCACAGGCGCGTGCCGCAATTTTGCGCCTGCCCCCGGCCGGGGCACAGAAGCATGCGCCGACGCTGCTGGAATTACAACGAATGTTCGCTTATCTGTTGGAGTCGGAGCGCAAGGCGTATAATCCGCGTAGCTTTTGTCGGGTCTATCAGATGGACCATCAGCCGCTGAATACGGGCGAGCAGAAGGATATGGCCGAGTTCTTTATTGATCTGGTGTCGAAGCTGGAGGAGATGACACCCGATCTGAAGCATCTGGTGAAGCGTCTGTTCTGCGGCACCTTGAGCAACAATGTGGTCTCATTGGATTGCGGACATGTCTCGCGCACCGCCGAGGAATTCTATACGGTTCGCTGTCAGGTTGCGGATATGCGCAATCTGCAGGAGTCGCTCGACGAGGTGACCGTCAAAGATACGCTCGAGGGCGACAACATGTACACGTGCTCGCAGTGCGGCAAAAAGGTGCGCGCCGAGAAGCGCGCCTGCTTCAAGAAACTGCCACAGATACTGTGCTTCAATACGATGCGATATACGTTCAACATGGTCACCATGCTCAAGGAGAAGGTCAACACGCACTTCTCATTTCCGCTGCGTCTCAATATGTGCCACTATGTGGAGAAGACGCTGATGCCGCAGCAGTACAAGGAGGATCGCGAGAAGCGGAAGCGCGAGGATCTCGAGGCAGCGGAGAACGAAAAGGCTGAGGCGACACTGGACGCTGACATCGAGGAGTGCTATGAGTAAGTGACTACACATGGAATGTTATCTTTCAGTTCGTTTTGAAAACCAAAAAAAAACATTTTGTTCTTTTGTTGCAGGTACGAATTGGTTGGCGTTACAGTGCACACGGGAACCGCGGATGGTGGACACTATTACAGCTTCATCAAGGAGCGCACGAAAAGCAATTATCATCCGCACGAGCGTTGGTTCCTTTTCAATGATGCCGAAGTCAAGCCATTTGATCCCTCGCAAATAGCAGCCGAGTGCTTTGGTGGCGAGATGACAGTAAGTCTTCATTTCCAACTAAAGATTATTCCACTTACATATTCCTCTATTTCATGTTAAAGAGCAAAACGTACGACTCAGTGACCGAAAAGTATTTGGACTTTAGCTTTGAGAAGACCAATTCTGCGTATATGCTGTTCTATGAGCGACGCTTGCCTGAACATCTGCAGCGTCGACACTCGGAGCTACTGGCGACGCCAACGCCAAGTCCCACCAACGAGGATAAGCCCGAAGCGGAAGAACCCCTTAAAGCGGAGACGCTGATTAACAATAATAAAAAAGATTCCACAAATGAGGACGAGGCGCATCCACCACTTAAGGCACAGCCGCTGGAGAAAGAGAGGGATGAGAGCCAAACTGAAAAGTTGCAGCCAGAGCAGCAGCAGGAAGAGTCCGCCAAGAACGATGATGAGAAGAAGGGAGAGGAGGAGCAAATAACAGCCAATTGTGATAATTTGAAGTCGAATAATAACAAAGAACAACCGCAGGCGTCAACCTCAAAGGGTGCCGTCGTCGCGGAAGCCAAAGTGTCCACAAAGCCACAACAGTTTCGTCCATTGTTGAGCAAGGAGCTAGAGGATTGGATATGGCAGGACAATAGACAGTTCCTGCAAGATCGCAACATCTTCGAGCACACCTACTTCAAGTGAGCAGACAACAAGCAAAAACAATCTCAATAAGAGTATATAGTTGCTAATTGCTTTCGATTTTGCTTGCAGCTTCATGTGGCAGATTTGCGGCCATATACCACAGACATTAATCTCGGACACGGACGTCACCTGCATGGCGGCCAAGTTGTCTGTGTCATTTTTTATTGAAACATTCATACATGCCAAGGAAAAGGTGAGCATTCGAATAGTAATAAACCTCAATAAATATAGATTTGAGTCCCACTGCATAAGACTTGGAATATAATGTTTAGGTTTTTTATTGTTTCTACAGCTTTATATTTTTAACATATTTAAAACCAAGCCTTTTCTTTTTAAAACTTTAATCAAATTTGATCCATGAAATGATCGTTAATAAATTTGAAATACATTCCTATTTTTTTTTACATGGATACCTTTTATAATATATATATATTAATATTATATTATATATTATATTATAATTACTCACTCTATTTTCGCATAAAAACAACAACAAACTAATTTGTTTTTTAATTAATTCAATTAATTTTCACATTGATACTTTTTAGTTAGTTAGGCAGACTTCTGCAGATTTTTATTATAATTAGTGATTCTAATTTGCATTAAATAAGGACTTATGTTTTCTTATACAACCTATAAATAGATAATGATAATAGATTATGTTTTCTGTTTCCTCAACTAACAAATCAGATGATGCAATTTGAAGTTTCATGAGAAACAAATTTCAGAATTGAACTAATCTCCACTGTTTGACTTGCTTAATTTGATTTTTACACAAGTGATTATAATGACTTGTTTAGTGTCTTAAATAAGTTTCAAAGCAAGCTTGTTTTTTAATTTGTTGTTTGTTTTATTTTTATGTAAAGGAATTCAAAGAATTACTGATATCTAATAATTTTAACACCACAATCATTTTAATTTACAGCCCACGATGGTTCCTTGGGTGGAATTGCTTACAAAGCAGTTTAATGCCAGTGAAGAGGCTTGCGAATGGTTCCTTTCGCACATGTCCGTGGAACCATTTTGGCCCGTACAGGTGCTAATCCAGTGTCCAAATCAAATGGTGCGTCAAATGTTTCAGCGTCTGGTCGTTCATGTCATACAGCGGCTACGGTAAGTGTTCCTTTTAAAATTAATTCTTGATTGCACTTTCAACTTACTTTTACCACATTTTTATAGTGCAACACATGCTGATCTGTATCTGGGCGTTGAAACGGATGAAAATGACAGGGAGCTGATTGGCCAGGCATCGTGTGTGACACGGTTTATAAGCTCGCTAATTTCGCTGCTGGAGCATGGAGCTCGCTCGCATTTGCGTCATTTGTCCGAATACTTTAGCCTGATGTGCGAGTTCTCGCGCATGGGCGATGAGGAGGCATTGTTTCTGTTGCGCATCGGTGTACTCAAGAGCCTGGTCGACTTCTACCTGGGCCATAAGCAAACGGATAGTGTAAGTCGACAGCAAACACGCAAAACAATTGATCAAAATTTATATTTTAACCATATGTGTTTGCCCACTGCAGATTGACATCAGCTCGGACAACGAGGACAACTCGTCAGATGAAGCGCTTTCAGTTGAAAAAATGCGTCCAGCGTCGCTAGACAAAATGATTGCACTCTGTGCCAGTCTTGTGGAGCGTTCGCGTGGCGCCGATTTTCGATTGAGACTGTCGCCGAAAGACTTCAATGCCATTGCCGGCGGAAAGGTGATACTGAAAAAGCTCTCAAGCGGTTGATATATCATCAATAATCAATCATCAATCAATTCAAGCACAACCACATCGTTTTAACGTCAATTATCAAAACACAAAACCATAACATAAATCCATCAAAAACCAAACAATCTAATATATCTAATGCCTGTGTGTATATATTTGTTTCACATATATTTCGTAGGGCTTTCCATTTTTGTATCAACAAATAAAGGACGGCATTAATCCGCACCAGACAAAGCATTTAATCCATGCGCTCTGCCGCTGGGACGATCGCTTGGCCACCCAAATCATCAGTATGCTCTTCGCCTCGGTCACCAAGCACACCGAGCTCTGTGCACCATTCTTCAAGCTGCTCACTTTGCTCACCGAGACGCAGGGCGGACCGGTTGGCCTGCCCTGCTTCACCCAGCTAGTGCTGCCCCGCATGTGGGATGCGGCCGAGTACTGTCCACAGTCAGTGCTTGACTGGCTGTCGCTGCAGGCGACAAAAAATAAAATCGCCCATGCCTGGATACTACAGTCCGCCGAGCAATGGCTGGAACAGTTTCTCCTCGCCCACGATAATACGCGCGTACGAAATGGTAGGCGATGGCTAAAAATTTGACATCTTTCGGTCCTCTCAAATCTCAGTGTATATTCATATTGTTGTAGCCGCTGCCTGTCTGCTGGTGGCGTTGGTGCCCTCGCAACCGTTTCGGGCCAACTTTCGCGCCCACTCGCAGCACAAGTTGTTGGCCCTCAATCCGCACAGTTACCGGTAAAGATTAGCTGCACTTGAACCTGAAATGGGTTCATGATGGCAGCGTTATGTGAATTTGTCTTTTGTTATCTTGCATTTGCAGCGACATCAACAGCGATGCCCAGGTGGTGCTGCATCAGGTGATCACATTGCTGCTGCGACTACTGCGTCCAGCGAGGGTGTATGCGGACATTGGGGCACATGGCACCACAAAGTTGACCGCCTATTTTAATCTACTCAGCTACTGTATGGTTTCAAAGACTGAAAAACTAATGGCAAGTTTGGCAGCACTGCATCGCAATCCGGTCGAAACCATCAAATCTAAACATGTTATTTATACGCTTGCAGATAGGTTCGTTTATGCGCTCCCTGTGGGAGCTGTTCCATCCGCGTCTCTCCGAGCCCAGCGTACCGGCGCATCACAACAAGCACGCACTGCTCACCTTCTGGCATCATTCGCTTGTCGACTGCCCCGAAAATGCGGCCATGGTCGCCAACTGTCCGGAGATTACCCGCAACATTGCATTTAACTATATACTGTAAGGCTATCTATTGTTAATGATCTCCGTGTTACGTTACGGTTCCATCAATCCAAAAAAAAAACATTGTTCCATTCAGTGCCGATCACGATGACGCGGAAATTGTTACTTACAATCGGTCCATGCTGCCCGCCTACTATGGACTCCTGCGTCTGTGCTGTGAGCAGAGTCGAGCACTCACCCGCCAATTGGCACAGCATCAGAATCTACAATGGGCCTTCAAGAACATCACGCCGCATCCCACACAATATGCGGCCGCTGTTGATGAGCTCTTTAAACTGATGGCACTGTTTGCCACCCGCCATTCGGATGCCAGCGAACAGGAGAAACTGGATGTCATCGCCTTCAGACGCTCCGTCATTGTAGCCTACACAAGCAGCCTGGACGCACGGGTCTCCTGGTCCACTCTCATTAGTGCGCTCAAAATACTGGGTAAGCTCTAAATAAAATCTACTATTGCAAAGAAAATACCATTGCAATGGGCATAATAACGTTTGTAACCCGATACATTTTTTAAAAAGTAGACTCCAATTTTGTAACGATAAAATAGTAGATGGAGAAGACACTTCAGCAACTACTCTAGATCTTTAGAACTAGATTATCGATAGGAAACTCTGCCTCTAACTCTCTCTTCTAGCTGTCCCAATAATTATTTCCCAATTTGCGCCAGACTGCTTTTTGGCATTATATATCTTTTGTAAACTACTTTATTTTGTTTTCAATACCACAATAACATGACAATAATTATTTTTTCAATTGCGATATCATTATTTTGTATTATTTTGAAATTTGCACTCTTTTCAACTTGACATGACTGTGACTGTTGATCTAAGCATCAGTATTTATTGAAAATACTATAAAATCAATTATCGGGCTGCTCCTAATTTTGTATATATAGGAAATTGTTAAAAGCGAATTTCGCAATTGTCTTAGCCCATTGTCGTTAGAAATTAAATTAAAATATTCAACTTTACATACCTTACATTCCCATCAGAACTAAACTAAAATTAGACAGGAAAGAATGGTTATCTTAGCAACGCCTTTTTAAATCGAAGTTAATCTGCTAACATCTAAATTTGAGTCTGGAGTTTGAAATGTAATATGTTCTCTTATTCACGATTGGCTGTAATCTGTTTATTCCACGAAATAAGAATTATAATAAACAAAGTTTAAATATATTGCTTATTGTGCATGTATAATATATAACTATTCTCAAACTATTTGACTTATAAACGCCTTACTATTTGCTAATAATATGCAATTAGTGCTGACGATTGCTTTTATTAAGAAGCTAGTCTGCTTGTATAACGAATTAAAGCCTCATTTGTTATTTGCTTGCAGTGGACAACGACGATGATCGCATGCTGGTCATTTATAATGGCGGCATTGAGATGTGCTTCGAGGCGTTGCACACGTTACATTCCATGCATCACGAGGCAACCGCCTGTCATGTGGCTGGGGATCTGTTGGATCTGCTCGGGGAGATGGTGCTGCTGCTGGCCACGTTGCGCATGCGCACCGACAATCCGGCGCAAAAGAAGCAGCAGCAACAGCAACTGGAGCAGCAGCTGCAATTGCAGCAGCAACAATTGCTGCAGAAGCAACAGCAGACGCAGTGCACCCAAGCGCCACAGACGCCCCAGCAGAAGGAGAAGCAGCTGCAGCAGCAAATGCAGCAGCATCTGCAATTGCAACAAATGCAGTTGCAGCAACAGCATTTTCTGCGCCAGCAACATCAACACTCGGCATTGGCCAAGGCGCTGCCCGATGCCATCAAGCGGCTGGCAACGCTGCTGAACACATTCAACTCGCCGGAGATTAGTCGCATGGCGCTGGAGGTGCTCAAGGAGCTGGTGCGCAACACCAGCCTGGAGGCCACCAGCATTTTGGCGCCCATTTTAATCAACTGCCATTTGTCTGTGGCCAATGCACCCAACGCAATTGGCCCCTTGGGACCCTATTTTCCACGTCGCGGTGCCAAACAAACGCCGTGGCCACTGGGTGCCAAGAACTCGCCACGACCACCCAGGCCGATGGTGCAGATGTGCATTGCCCTGTCAGAGTTGGCGCCACGTGGCCTCGACACCGAGTACGATGCCCAAGTGGATGCCTTCTACAGGCCGTATCATGACTTCATCGATGTGATGCTGCGCATGTGCATCAACACGGGCACCCTCAACGACACTCTCGTCAAGCTGCACTGCCTGGTGGCCATTGAGTCGACGCCGCTCCATTTCAACTACTTTCCCAAATTCTGGGTGGGCATACACAACAATGCACTAACGCACAAGTGAGTTAACCACTGGACATTTATATATTCTTAATCAATTGAAATATAGAATAGCAATCGGAGTAATAAACTATATTCATAGTTTTCTTAAAACCCAAATATCGGAACTGATATATGGATATAGTCCGTATCGGAATCAGAAAGAAAACTAACTCTTTTTCTGATCAAAGGCTACAAATTGATTTAGACAGTTTTCAAACCTGGCGTGGAGTAAATTTATTAAATCTATAATTGTGATAAATGCAAAATTAATTTCTTTTTATAGGCTAATTCCCTTTTTAAATAACTCTTGTCTTATTGGCACACCACTTGACCTGATCGCATTGAATGCGTTGATGATTTGCGTATTCTTAGATCTTCTGCTTCTGAATCAAAAACAATTTCTATTTTTCTCTCTTCGGGGTCTTAACTGAATTACTAACACTTGGTTTACCTGTTCACCGAAGTCTCCTCTCTTGCTTACAACTCTCATAACCTTACCAAAACTAAACTTGGCCCGAATGGAATGTTTTCACTTGTTTTTCAATGTTCGATACTATTACATTTAAATAAATGTAATAAAGATTAAAAGTACTGATATAAATTCCACGTTAGTTAAAGGAACATGTAAACTTTTAGCAAAATAATTAAACAGTCAAATCAATGTGTATATTAAGGAAACTTTTCATAATTATTCGAAGGACTTATTAAAGTACTTTCAATTTTGTACCCATAGATATTCGGAACTGCTTGTGAAGAATCCGTTGCTAATCGAGTATCTGCATAATGTGCTCAGAGATGAGCGGAGCATGCTGAAGGATACTTTTGTGCGAGAGTTTCTGGAGCTGTACTATCACAAAGTGGCCGCACAGCTGCCGGTGGCTCGAATGATCTACACGATTAACTATGGCATGCACTCCAAGGATGACATCGAGGAGCTCTGCGGTGATCTCTTTGCCATACGCATTATTGCCCAGGCGACGGGTGTGCCGACCTCCGTGCGCAAGGAACTCCGCGGATCGCTAAGGGCGCTGCTCAACAAGAGCGAGCGCTTTCAAAAGGAAGTGGAGCGAGGTTGGTTTTACTCCTATGTGCTTACAAGATGATAAGTCTGATAAATATTGTATCTCATTTTGCAGATCAATTCCCAAACAAGAAGCAAAAACGTGAATCCGGCAAGGAGAAGGAGCAAACGTCATCAGCCGGCCAGTCTGAGGCAGAGACCGCAGACAATTCGCCAGATGGCAAAGAGAAGGTTGAATCGGTGGATAAGATCAGCACGGCGGATGTGTCCATGGAAATGCCCAGTGACTCTGCTGTAGGCGCTGACGATGCTGCTCCTGCTGCTGTCGCTGTTAGTGTCGCTGCAACGGAACCAGCGACACCAGCTGCTGACTACGCGGACGAGCATATGGCGAGTCCTGCTTCCGAGAAGCAAGAGAAAGGATCGATTCCCTCGTCCGATGACGAAACGGAACTGGAAGATGAATTGGAGCCGACACCCAAGCGTAATAAGAAATCGGCCAACAAGAAGACCGCTCACGATCGGGCCAACGAGGAGCGCAAGCGGCGTCTGAGCAATTTGCTCTCCATGGAATCCTACATACAAAGCATTTTTACCATCATCAAACGAGATGGGGGAAATGCGTCCAATGCAGCAGCTCCTAGCAGCAGGGAGCTGCCCAGTGAAGAGTTGCCTGTTGAGGCATCCACATCAGCCGCTGCTGCGGCGGCAATCCGGGCCAGGCCCAAGGGTGCCACAACGCCGCCGGAGCCCGAGGATGATATACTGCAGGGCAATTACAATTTTGAGATTGATACAAGCGAAATGAATTTACACGCAACTCTACCGCTGAAGTCCAAGTCGGTCAACGGTCAGGATCAGGATCAGGATCAGGAGGCGGCGGACACATTCAATGAATCGCTGCCGGCGGCAACTGCAGCTGTGGTCAACAGCGTCGTCCCACCCATCAGCGCCGCTGCCGGCAGCGTTGTTGCATCCACTTCCCAGGCAGCGAGTCCAACACAAATTTAGTTGTCGTTCAATGATTTGCTAAGCATTTTATTTTACGGCAAGCCATTGGAATGATGATGGTGGTGATGATGATGATGATGATGATGATGATGGCAGGCTAGGCGGCTAGGCGCATCCGACAATGGCTATACACTGGCTCAGGCTGAGGCTCACATAGGTACTACTACTACGAATTTTTGGCCAAAGGTCAAAAGTTGATGCAAGGAATGATTTGAACAACCCAAGGTTGGTGCTATGCCTCCTTCGTGGCACGCGGAGGCGAACGATTTTTGAGCAAGGACAGTTATACTAAATTAAAATTAATCTAGCAACATATTCAAGCGGTAACACATCAATTCAAATAGTTATGTAATTCACACACACACGCACACATCTACATCGACACGCATATATACATACATATATAAATATATACATATATAAATACATGCATACCACATCCATACATACATCCTTACATACATACATACATCCATACATCCATACAATTAGCAATAATGATAAACGTTACTATTTTAAGACTTCCATGAAATCATCCAAAATTCCCCCATTTCAAATTGATAATTAGGCAACAAGTTAGAAAACATCTTCAATGCAAGAACCTTGTTATGCACTACGAAATGCCAAATAAACAAATGCATTAAGGGCAACAATACAAAAACAACAGCAACAACAAAAGCAAAAGCAAAAAACAAAAGATATTAGAAACAAACAAGAAAACATTAAACAAATATGAATGTGTGTTGAAAAACGGCTTCTGAGACGCTAATATATCGTATATATATATATGTTGTAGTAGAAATCTGTAGGTACGTTTTACGCTGCTAATTACATTTTGGTTTAGTTTCGTATCGTGTTCACAATCCCCACCCCCTTCCCCACAACTCCTACTCCGTCTCGTCTCCTTATCCATATGCACTATAACTGAATGTTAGAGACAAATGAGCAGATAATACAGATATAACAGATATTATATACTAAACTAACCAACACTTTTTTATTACATAATAATAAATGGATGTGTAACAATTTTCATTGTAAATTGCTGATGAACGGGTTACGAATTGAATAATTTTTACGTTCTTTAGTTCATGTGAGAATAAATTGTAATTACGCACATAAGTCTAGTAAGTTGTCCATGTGAAACACAATAGGACAAAGTTAAAAACAAAAAAACAGAAACAACTTTAAAAAGAAAAAGAAAAAAAACAGAAAAACCAATAAACTGAAAAAACCCATTACTTAAAAGGGGCGCATAAAATTTTAGTCTTAAGTCACAGCAATCGATCGAAATCTAAAATATGTAATGTTGAACAACAAAACAGAAAAACAAAAACAAAAAATAAGAGCAAATAACAATAAAAACAATGCAGCATATAAGTTAATACTATGTGTAATTATTAATTCCTCTGGTTTTACAATTTAATTGAAAATAGCTAAAGAGAAAGCGAATATCATAAATAGTCAGATAATTGAGTTTTTCCCATGAAAAACTTTAATGTGATAATCGAATTGAAATTTACTCAATCGTTTTTAACAATTTAACATCAAAATCAGATTGTTCTCATGGCTTTCAAACTGTTCTTGCATACTGTTCTCTCTGGTCTTCAAACTGTTCTTGCATACTGTTCTCTCTCGGCCATCAAACTGCTCTTGCACACGGTTCTCTCTTGGCTTTCAAACTGTTCTTGCATACTGTTCTCTCTTGACTCTCAAACTTTCAACTGCATCTGTTGTGAGGATTGTCATACTGCATGACATGCAGCGTTTTCGTTGTTAACCTGTTGCACTTAACCCTCGATAGTTCTTACCGTTGAAGCGCATGCGCTGTGACAAATGTCAAAGTCATCGTATCCAAGTGTGAAGTCGACTTTTTGTGAAACCTGAACGACAAAAATATTTTGTGAAAAATGCCTTGCGTTGGTTGTGAGAAGGGTAAGTGAATTTACACAATGATGTATGACAAGTCGTTAAGCTTAAGTTCACAACACAGAATGCAAATGCACCGCAGAAAAGTGTGCCGACAGCTGCAAGTGCAAATCGGCTGGAAAGTGTGGCTGCAACCCAAATAATGGAGCTCAAAACTCGAGCGGTGGCTGCTGCAAAAAAAATGAGGCTGCTAACGATGGCAAGGGAGAGAAGAGCTGCTGCAAGAACACTAAGAACTAAGACAAGAATGATGAATATTTAAAATCCATGTATTTTGCGTTTACTCGATAAAAATATAACTGCTAGTGAGCTATTTATTATTTATTTATAATTAAAAGTGACTGCTAGTATTAAATGCACTCTTACCAATATATGACTGTGAACTTTATTTGGTTTCCGAATGCATTTGATTCACAATTGCACACAGAAAATGCCGCTGCAATGATTTACAGTACATTTTTGGCATATAACATAAACAAAATTGTCATGTAATTGGTATATTTGGACAATACCAGCATTAATTTATTTTGTTATTGTTTCCATTCAAACACTACTATACTTCAGAACTACCAGCAATCTTAAATAATGTGTGAATATGTATTAATTTTATTTCTGCGCGCTCATGCGAAATTAAAAAAGCGCGCTTCGCTTTTCAAAAGTTGAGTGAACAAGAAAATCGCACTAAAGCATCGATATAAAAATAAAAATATCAATGTTATCGATATTGCCTCGATAAGTTGTTTTGTCATTTCCATTTTTGTTTGCCGTCTTTTGTTAAGCTGAAAACATTCCGTATCAGTCAAAACGTTTAATATTGTCTTATGAAACATGAGTATAATATTAAAGCAAATAAAACAAAAGAAAATGTTTTTACTTTTCAAAAATTCACATCGTAACCAGAGTAAAACACAATAGTTTTTTAGTCAGCGTTGTTGTCGTTATCATCACACATTGAAAAAACAAACAAAACAACAAAATAAAAACAGTTTTTTTTCGTTAGTTTTTTTCTTCTATCATCGTCGTTGTGTGAATGAACAGAATAGAAATGAACATTGATGTGGAAAAATTAATATCATTAATTAAGGCAAGAAGGCCAATTTACAATTCCAAACACAAAGAACATGCCAATAAAGTAACTATCGACAAATTGTGGGCTGAAATAGCAGGCGAAATGAATTGTGAAGGTAAGTTGAATGATAAAGAACATTATTCATAACTGTAATATTTTTTTAAAATTATTTATTAATTTTGTTTTTAATACTACGTTTATTTTGTCTTTATACTTTTTTTGTGTCTTTCGTCTAATTCTGCAGTTTCAATTGTTTTTTTTTTTTTGTCTGTTTCAGCTGTTATTATTGCTTTTATACTTGTATGTCTTTTTTGTCTTTTTCCGCTGTTTTTATTGTTTTGCTATGTGTTTGTCTATTTTTTTTTTGTATGTTTTTATTGTTTTTCTGATTTATGGACTGTTTCGTCTATTTATGTTGTTTTCATTGTTTTGCTATGTTTTTGTCTTTTTCGTCTTTTTCGTCTATTTCTGCTTTTTTAATTGTGTTTCGTCTTTATCATTGCAGCGTGGCAATGTAAACACAAATGGACAAGTCTGCGATGTGCCTATTCCAGATATTTGAGGGAAGGCAGTGGCAGGCAGTCTGGATTGAGTGGCAAGCGTAGGAAAAAATGGTATTTGGCTGCTGCCATGTCCTTTTTGAAGGACTACATCAAGCAGTATCGCAACAATAAAACCTACATCTCCGAGGACGAATGCAAACAAGAGTTTGCAGAAAAAGGGTTTGAATATGACGACCCGGTAGATGTTCAGAGCGTGAGCACAAATATCTCACAGACTACTCCCATAGGCAGCCAAGTGGCAGTCAAAAGGAGTAGAAGCTTACTTACAGAAAGTGAAGCTGCACCAATGATTGAGTTCACACAATCTAGAAACAAAGAAAAATCACCAGAAAATGCAAATACATTGTTTTTTAAGAGTTTACTGGCCGATTATGAAAAACTGTCTTCCAAAAGACAGAGATTATTCAAATTGTATATGATTGACAAAATGAATGAATTGCAAGAAGAGGACGAAAATGAAATGTTTTCACTTAAATTTTAATAGAAAGCTTTAAATATTATGAAATAATATTGTTAAAAAATATTCATTTAGCTGATGTTACTTACCGGTAAAGTTTTGAATAAACGTTCAACCAAAGATGCGATATTTTAGATTTTAGATAACAATAGAAACAATTTCATCATCTGAATCCGAGCACATTAAGAAACAACTACATGCATATTATTAATTATTATTAATACATATTTTGTGTGTGTATGAGGGGGCCTTGGATGGTTTAGATACCCAAATAAACCCGCTTGGAAACAAGACTCGATGTGAAATATCAGAGGCTTGCCAATTATTGAGCAGAAAAGCGTCTGCTCATTCCAAGTACTAAGACAACAAAAATGAATATTTCAAAAAAGATGAAAGAAATCGATGTATTTTGCTTTCACTTGACGAATATATAAATGCTAGTAAGCTATTTATCATACACTTTAATATATGTATATTGCTTAAAATATATTCAAAACGTATTTACTCTTACTACAATAATAATAAAGGACCTTTACCAACAATGAGACTTTGTGTAGATGGCAATGATTTTTGTTGATTTTCAGTTTTTTTTTTGTTTTTTTTTAAAGGTTTCCTACATAAGCTGAGAAACAATAATGGAAAAATATGATTTGAGTACGTTTTACAAACGAGCCAACAACAAAGTGCATTTTATTTCTTTTATACATATCAAAATTGCTTTTGTTTTTATATTTCTACAGCAAAACGTGCGTGGGGCAAGAATTAGGATTGTTCACATAATAATAATGGGAGAGGGGAAATTAAACAAGTTTAAATTCGTTAGCAATTTTCTTTATATTACAGCATTAAAGATCGGGTCTCAAGATTTCCTTCCAATATAGGTACATATATATATAGATGCATATAAAAAACAATTTAAAATTTGATTTTCAACAAATACGAGCCACTTACTTAGTATATTATTATTATTATTATTATATATAGTTATGTATTACTTCGCGCTGCGCTGAGCTATTAAATTAGTGTATGTAATATAAAAAAACAATATTCCTTGTAGGGCAATTAATAGCTAGTTTTTCACTTTTTTTTTGTTGTTTCAATTCATATTTTTTGTTTGTTTTGGACTTAAATTTATACAAATCAAACGACAATTCTAAATTTGATAATTGTGGCCACTTAATTAATTGCGTTTCGATTTACGTTTTTTGCGACTGCTTGTGGAGGCTGTGGATGTGGAGTTTGTGGCCGAGGCGGAGGCGGAACAGCTGCTCGACGATTTGGTTGCCACAGCAGGTATGGCTCCGCTCAACTTGCCCCAAATGCTGCTGAGGAAGCCACTATTGTTGTTGCTGCTATTCTTATTTGATTTGCACGTTGCAAAATTGTTGTTGTTGCTCTTCTTCTTGCTGTTGTTGTTATTATTGTTGTTGTTGTTAGTTGCAGTTGTCGTTTGTTGCTCGTGTGTCCCGGGAGGCGGCTTCGTTTTGTGTTGTGCTACTTGGGCGTATTCTCATGAACGCTTCAACTTGCCATTGGCAGCAGCAGCTGTTGTCGAACGCTTTCCACTGCTGCCACTGCCGCCAATTGCCGCTTCAGCCGCATGCGTGGCAACATGTTGAATGCCCTTCTCCATGCAACCCTGATAGATCGGCCGCATGAACTGCAAACGCAAACAGTTAACACAAATAGATAAAAGATTAACTTATATGTTATCGCTTACATTCTCCCACATGAGCGTGGCAAAGTCGTCCAGCTTGCCACCAAAGTCGCTCAGCTCGCCGCTATATCTATACGAATATGGAATCGGTTTAGTGATTATGTTTAGCCAAGAGTTATTGGAGAGTCACCTTATGTAGGCCCAGAGTGCCAGTGTTAGCAGCGCCACACCCATGACCAGATTACAGAAATTGGCAAATGTATAGAGTCCGACGAGTCCAAAGATGCCGCTGACCACATACATGATGACGGCGCAGGCAAAGTAGACGGCGGGCGTGCGTGCAGCCTTGAAGATGTTTTTGCTTTCGTTGTGTGCCCGATAGTTGAAGAATACGTCCTCCAGATCGGCGTCCAGTTGCACCCGAAACTTCTCCGTGAACTCCTCACCGCCCATTTTGCGTTTGGCGGCGAACTGAAACAGTGCCTTGTCCTTTACGCGCATATGCTCCGTCTCCAGATGTGCGGTGCTTAAGTAGGGCCGGGTGCCGCCGCACACCTCCTCCATGAGCTGATTGTACAGCTCCTTGGCAGACGCAACGGCAGTTAGGTGATTCGCCTCCGCAGTGGCCACCAGCATGCTCTTCGGTTCAGGCAGCTCGTTGCCCTTGTAGATGGTCATGTATGACTGGAAGTACTGGATGAGATCACGGGCTCTCACACGCTGTCCGCTAATCTCCTTGTACACCAGATTGTCGGGTGCGAGCAGCATGGGAACTAGCGTACGCAGGCTGTTCTTGAAATCGGGCGTAATATCCTTGAGCCGGCCATCGAATTGCGGATTTGTGGCAACATTGAGACCCGGATGTGGCATCAGGAAGCATGCCACCTCCGTGAAACACGATGAGATGTGTCGTCGCAGCGATTGCAATTCCGGATGCTGTTTATCCGACACCTCCAACCGTCGCTTAAGTATCTTATCGCCACCGACAGCTCCATACTCGGCCTCGTAGGGGAAACTCCAGTCGCGGACCAAAAATTGGAGACGCTGGAATGGCTTCTTGCCGGTGTCGGCCAGCGCCAGGCGGCCGTATTCGGTGAATAGCTGCAGATGCTGCAGATCGTCCTCCTGTATATTCTGTGAGAGATTGTATATCTGTACCGAGGACAGCATTGTGCTCAATGCGAACACTGTCGCACAGTCGCGCACAGTGCTCTGGCTATCGAAGGCGCCCTGTGTGTCCATCAATATGATCGCAATCTTATCGCCATTGGGATAATCGTGCAGGAATATATCGGACCACATCAGTATGCCGGTCGTTTCACGTTCCGATCCACCGCGCCACGAGAAACCCGACAGCGGATCCGCCTCATCGCCCAGCCAATCTGTGACATCATGTCGCACATACTGCAAAAAAGAACAGTGTTGATTAATAAACACACAAACACACGCATCGGTTAATAGCACTGGCCTCTCACCTTTGAGTACATGTAGCGTAGAAAGAAGTCGAGCAGAAAACTTTTGCCCTTGCGGAATGCACCCGCCACAGAGACGACGCACACATAGCGATCCTTGACCTCGTCCCGCATCAACACCTCGCTGAGCGCATCCTCGTCGAGGACAAATGTGTGTTCCTCGGATGCTTTGATCACCTGCACCGACGAGCCGCCCATTGTTCTCTTCTCCATCTGAATGCTATTTATTTACGTGTGTGCGTATGTGTGTGTCTGTCTCTGTGTATGTGTGTGTCTGTGTGTTGTTTGTTGGGCGCTTTGACGAACTTTGTTGCTTTGTGTTCCAATGTTTTTGCTTGTTTTGAGCAACTGCAATAGAAAAAAGTGAAAGATTTTGTAAAAGTTGCTTTGTAAATGTGCAGAGAGGATTCCTGTTAACGTTTGCAGTGTTGCCAGATCAACAGTGGCAGCCAATTCAACTAACGGTTAATTGCGCAAGTTCTATTCAATTTACAGTGTATGCATGTGAATGTGTGTGTGTGTTGAATTTTGGCATGTGAACGGGCATAATGTGCCAGCCACAGGCGGCGGCCTGCAATTATGAGAGGTGGCCAAAAATAAATTCAACAATGCGCTAGTTTGGCACAGCCAACAGCGCAGACTGAGAATAAGGGGAGAGGAGGGGAATCTTTCGCTTATTCAGATTCAGGTGCGTGAATATGGCACGTAATCGAGTTCAATTTGACACACACGCGCAAACACAATTTTATGTACAAAAAATCACATTAAAATTCCTAGCTCTATTTTAGTTTTGGCTGAGGCTGATGACGTTGACAACTTTTTGCTTTTTTCATTTTGTCACTGCGACGTTGACCATTGCTGTAAATTCTAATTGGAAACGTAATCGAACAACGCTATTTCTGCAGTCGGCAGATCGTGTCACGCACACCACACACATGTAAATATATACAGCAATCAAACGCACTTTATGCTAGACAAACGCGTTTGACAGCAAAACAATTACCATTTACTATGGTCGCTTCGTTCTGCTTTGTAGCAATATTCATGAAATTTAATTAAACAATACAATCAGTGTTGCGACAGTCGCAGCGTCAATCGCGACTGTCAACCAAAAGTGAACTGCACAACACGCAAGTCGCCCGCTGTTCGCTTAGCAGCCGAGCCGTTTGACAGCAACACAATTAGCGAGAGAGAGAGAGAGATCATCAAAATTCTCTCTCTCATCTTCCCAGTAGCGAACGGTGAATGACTACTCATTACCGAGTGCATTCTGTATGCATACAATCTAATTCATTACTAATTACTAATTCTCCTGAATACAAACTTGTCTTCAGCAACAAATTCTGTGCACTCATATGCGCCAATAACTTATCACATATTTCTTATATGTAATTTGTGTATGGATTCGAAGCTACACTGCTTACAAAGTACAGAAAACGAATTGTATTCGTAATGGGATCGTTTTGCTGTTAGGTATCAGGCCAACACTCTCTCTCTTTTCATTCTCTCTTGCTCTCTGCACTTCTGCTGTTCAGAGTTGGAACGTGTCAGGTAGAGATCAGAGCGACATCTGCAGCTGTTGAATTCTTTTTGTTTTTTTTTTTGATTAACAGACCTTTCTTTGACTGTTAATTAACCAAAACAAAAAAAAAACATTTCTTTTTGTATGACGGTGCTAAATTAGTTTGCAATAATTTAGTAAAAGATGTTGAATTTCGAAATTGTTAAACACTGTTTTGGCAATGCTGTGCCACAGTTTTTACCTGCTGTTAAAGCTGTGCTCAGAACGTCACACAGGTGCTAGACAGAGTCAACTATATGCATGATGATCAACCAGTTTTGATCATGAAACAATGACAACGTGCTAGTTATCTCCCTTTGGCACATTAGATATTTGCCTCGTGTACGATGTAAACAACATAAATGGAAAGTAACAGCAACAGTTGTGACAATGACAGTGACGCCAGCGTCGACGCAAGCAGCATGATTAGTCAACTGGAATCGTTGCTGAGAGCAACAGCAACAGCAACAATAGCAAAACAACAACAACAACAATAGCCAACAACAACGATACAAAAATGACCAAAGCAAAAACGGGCAACATGAAAATAGTCGCGTTCTGAGCAGCGCTTAAAATGCAAGAAGAAAAAAGCATTGAAAACAATATAAGAGAAAAATCAGGGCTTAATTTGCTTAAATTAGTCAGCCAAAGTGTTTAATTAGCTTAATCAAAGCCACACAAGCCTCCACCATAGGGGCTCTGGCCACGCGAGGCTCATCATTCCAGCGAACAACACACAACATGCCGTTTGGACACCGCCCAATCGAAAACAGCCTCGTGTTCTTTGTGGTGCTGCTGCTGCTCAGCTCCATTGGCGTTTCCGTACAGGAAGTGCTCGAGGAGGAGCCCGTCTACTTTTATGTCGGTTGTTATACGGCTCGAACGGATCTGTTCAAGGAGTTGGTGTATGCGAAGATGCCGCAAACATGCATCGAGATGTGTGAGCATCAGGGACATCGGTATGCTGTGCTCGCTGCCGAGAAATGCTTCTGTGCCAATCAACTGGAGCCGCAGCAGAAACAGGACGAGAATCTCTGTCACACCCGGTGTATGGCGAATAAGGCGCAATATTGCGGCGGTGTCGGTGTCCATTCCTATTACTCAACAACGCTGTTGCGCCAGCCGGCGCCGCATCATCTGCGTATGGTGAACAGCAGCGAGAATAGCATCAGTCTCGCATGGGATGCGTACGGGTCGAGCAAGTTGCTCCTCGCTGGCGCCGCTGAAGCACTCGCCCCGCAAACCCAACAGATTGCCAACTTTCTGATCAGATGTCGGGTGATGCAAACCTATTCCACACTGCCCGCCTTCCAGCAGCCCGAATTCATAGTGCAGGGCACGGAGACACGATTCGAGCTCACCGATCTCCAGCCAGCAACGCTCTACAACATCAGCGTTCGAGCGATTTGTGTGCAAAAGCAGCAGCAGATGGGGGACGAGGAGAATGAATGCGGTCATGCTACAATCATGGCCAGCACAGAGGTGGGTCTGCCCAGTCCGGCACCCGCACAACCCAAGATTCTGACACGCACAGAGAACACCATCACGGTGGAGCTAGCACCCGTGCACAACAACAATGGGCCCGTGACGAAGCTGCTCGTCATTGTTGAGTTTGTGGACAATGCGCTGAGCCAGCCGTTCGATGCCCAGCTCCTGGGCAGCTGGCAGGACGCACAACAAAATGGTGTGCCCTACTATATAGCCGCCGAGCTGGACTACGATAGACCTGAGGACAATCGCACCAGGCATTTTGTCGTCGGCGATAACAAACGCTATGGACGCTATCGCAACGTGCCCCTGGAGCAGCTCTCAGATGAGCACAACCACCAGAACCAACCGGATCATGTCCACATTAGCTTGGGCGTGGTAAGTTGCTGATGGATTACCAAATAATATCAGGACAAGTCCTTAATAATAATGTTTATTTGAATACAAAAGAACTTCCCTTTACAGTGATGCCGCTTGGGAACAGAAAAGTAATGAAAAATGTTTTATATATACAGAAAACTAATTCATTATATAGAAATATATATATATACAGAAAAGTAATTCATTGTATATAAATATATCTATATAAAACATAGTGAATTTCCGTTGTGTGTATAAAACATATTTCTATATGCTGAATACATTTTCAGTATATATTAAACACATTTCTATATAATGAATTCATGTTAAACATATTTATGTATTATTTTCTGTTCCCATGTGAAACTTTATCAATCAATTCATAATAACTTTCTTACGAAACTTTCTCAATCAAACTCAACTCAAACAATATTTTTGAATATCATTGTTTATAAAAAAGAGTTTTTTGACTTTACCAATCTTAAAATGCATTAATTTTTTCGATTTTTTAGGAGAGCACCTTGCGGAACATCACCAAGACGCTGTACACGCGCAGCGGTCACGAGCAGCATGCGAGTTCCTTGGACGACTTTAGCTATGCGACGTTTGAGAAGGGACAAAGTTCGGTGGTGGCACTGGCCGTCACCTGTGTGATCTTTGGCAGCTGCCTGCTGCTCAGCCTGATCACCTACTTTTACTTGCGCTACAAGACCTGCCATGGTCGGGGTCTGACCGGGCGGGGACGCAATGCGCACGAGATGACACAGCAGACGCCGATCATTGAGCGAGAGAACAACGGCTATCTGGTGGAGGAGGAGTTGCCACCCACACTGGAGAGCTTCAAGCAGCAGCTGCAGTCCACAATCGATGGATTCGAGCGTTTGCCGCGGAATGCGTTGCGCTTAAATGCCAATGATGTGATTGGCGAGGGTCGCTACGGTGAGATCATCACCGGCAGGATCAATAATATGGACGATGGATCTACAGCAGCCACAGCTGCTGTCCGAGATTCTGCACTCCATGTGCTTGCCCTAGACGATTTGAATGGGACAACGCAGGCACAACTGTTGCGTGAATTGAGGCAACTGCGCAAGTTGCAACATCACGAGCTTCTTCTGGACTTTTATGGGATATCGGCGAGTGCCGATTGGTTCTATCTGGTCTTCGAACTGCAGCGTGTGAGTCTCAAGCGACGCCTCATCGAGAGCCGACAGGCAGCGCCGGCACTCCGTCTGACCGTGCTGACGGAACAACTGGTGCTCCAGTGGATGTACGAGCTGTCCAGCGCCATGGCATATCTGGGCAGCTGCCAGGTGCTACATCGCCAACTGACCGCCTACAGCGTCTTCGTCAGCGCCGACTCCAAGCTGAAGCTGAGCGTTTTTGGTCCGCCGCACTATGTGAACAGCAATCGCCAGCAACTGGATCTGTGCCGCTGGCTGGCGCCGGAGGTGTTGCGTCATCAGCACCACACCACTAAGTCGGATGTGTGGTCCTTTGCGTGTGTTGCCTGGGAGTGCTGTGCTCTCGGCGGCACACCCTATGCCAATGTGGCCAATGGTCAGCAATTGTTGGAGTCAATTCGTGCTGGAGTGCGTCCCGCTCAGCCCGCCTATGTCTATGGCGATCTTTATCAGCTGCTGCTCAACTGCTGGCAGCTGGAACCCAGCGAGCGGATCGGCTTCGAGGATGTGGCCTTCGGTGTGCGTCAGCTGATGACCTCGGCCCGGCATGCGTTGTGCTTTGATCGCTCCAGCTCGGACACCATGGAGACGCTGCCATTGTATCTGCCAATGCTTGAGACGAGCAATTAGTGCCAGAATGAGATAGCAGATTGCTTAGCGACTTTAGTCTTCATAAACCCTAACTTTTGACAGGCACTGTTCGATAATCGCCTGTTTCGATTGAGGTTAATTTATTTTAAATACTGCTTTATTTTTAATTTTCCCATATTGTTCGAGTAAATAAATGCGTGTGCTTATGTCAGATACCCATTGATAGAGTCTACATCTCTTTTGCATCCTTATTCTCAACAAATCTAGTATGATATTAGTTATTTAAAACAAAAATGAAATTCCAGAAAGAGAAAAAGATTTTTTTCATATAAGCATACAAGCAATATTGAGACCAAATTATTATTGAATCTAAAATATTTACGTTTGAAAATATTTTCACTAACACAATTGTTAAATTCTACTGAAAAAAGCTTATGAAACCTGTTTTTTTTTTAAGAAAAAAAAAAAAGACGTTCCGCAAATTGGAGCTAAGCAATAATAATAAGAATAACTACTGAGAGCGCTCCATTTTTTTTTTACAAATTTTTTTCATACTTTAATATGCTTTTCGCTGGCGATTCACTGTGATTCCCCGCAGACGAATCCCGACGCAACAAGGCAAAAGCAATGTCTTACAAATTATATAATAATATTGAACTCTGTTTCAACACTAAACTGCACAAAATCAAAAAAGAGTCGAACTCATCGAATTGATAATCGATCGAAATAGCTTTCGAAAGAGAAAGCGAGAGCCAAAGGTGCGGGGAGAGTCGGGGACAGCCGGCGTAATTAATACATATGAAATATATATGCGAAAATATAAATGAGTAGCGCATATAGAAATTGGCGATTAATCAGTTTAAAGGTCGAGCGAATGGGGTGTCGGCAACTTGGGCGCAAAATGCAATTGTTTAAACAATTAATTGGGCAAATGGCAAAGTGTTTATTATTTGCAAAGAGCAACAAAAGTACTTGTATGCTCTGAACAACAATGTTTGACTAGATGACACCCTGTATTTATTTTATATATATATATGAATATATCTACTTATTATTATTATTGCTGGGTCTATTGTGCCTCTCCCTTGGAAGTGAGTTACAATTCTTGACAAAGCCCAATCAATCATGATTGTCCATCTACTTATTTACACACACATTCAAAACACTCAAGATTTCAGTATCAATATCTCTTCTCTTGTAAGGGGTATTAGAAATTGGATTCAATATTGTTGAGGTTATATGAAAAAATTGTGGCCGTCTTTTTATAATTAAAATTTTTTTTATAATTTTGCTTAGTCACCTTGGGACTCCCTAAATCGGAGCCCAGAAAAATGGTAGAATCTACATATTTAACTATGTAAAATGTTATAAAAGATGGAGCGCTTTCAGTAGCAAATCTTCTTATTATATCTTAAATTTAATTATTCGAATTGACGATATTGAAAATGTTTTTAAGAGACTGTATTATAGATTTAATAATAATAATTTTGTCTTACTATTGTTTTAGGTTATATGAAAAATGTAATTAAAGAAATATGATGCAACATTTTCAGAAATAGTGCAATGAACTAATTCAACTTATTTCCCATATCTAAACTATAATTATTTCTTTTTTATTTTTGAAATTCAACGATTGTGACAGTAAAAATGTGCTCAAACATAGGTATAATAGTTTCAATGTTGAGCAATCGATTCTCATTTCGCAAAGTTGTATTTAAATACACACAATTAACAATTAAATGTGTACAGGGTATATGAAATAAAGAAAATTATTTCTTTTGCAAAATTACAGTGCTTATGTATTACTCATAGACACGAGCAAGATGAGTAAGATTACCCAAGGGCAAATATCTGAAACATTTGCGAATACATTTCAATTTGGTGTATATAATAAATTCATATACAATATTAATATACATTCGATCGGAACACGGTACAATTCTACAATTGGACACGCAGTGATAATCTGGCTATCACCATTATAAAGCAGAACCGGTCCGCGAGCAGCTGATAAGCCAAAGTAAATGGAATATGAAACCCATAGACTAACTAAAGACAAGGCACATGTTTTTTCCTTCTTTCTTTGATATAGCTGAAAGTTTATCAAAAACCCAGTGAAGCGCAAGTTGCTAAAAAAGCAATAACAACAAAAAATATATATATATATATTTATATATATACCGCTTTAGCGCTTGGACGACTTTTGCACTCATCGACTCGGAGTCAAGGTGAATGACGTTACCAAACAGAGCAAAGAGGCTACGGCTGTAGCAAGAGCAACAGCAACAGCAACAGCAACAGCAAAAACAACAATCTAAAGCACATTGGCACACATACACACAGATATGTGCGAATCTGTGTGCGTGTGTGTGTTTGTATTGGCAATACAAATTATTAATAAATCAAGCTGCGAGCCCTGAAATGACGCTAGACAAGCGTCAGCAAACGAAACTTGTGTGTGGACGTCGACGTGGACATGGTCGTAGATAGCACAAAAGGGAATTATAACAAGTGGAGCCTGTGTGTAAACCAGTGTTGACCACTACTCACAATGCGAGCATGCACATACACGCAGAGCGACGACGCAATAGAATTTGTTTTTTGTTTTTATTACATACATGTGTATGGATATGTGTATGTCAGATGTACATGTACAGAGTTCTGCGTCGCGAGGGCAAACCATAACTGGTTGCTTGGCACTCGCACGCTCACATTGTTGCACACTTTGTATATTATTGTTATTCACGGTTTCAATTTGCATATTACTCACTTTAATAAACAATTCGCCTCCAACGCGCCTGCTGCTGCTTGCTCTTTTTTAACATTTACTTTGCTCACCTTTTTGCTAGTGGTGTATATTATGTCGATTAACCGAACGATGCGATGATTCTCTCGTTATCGATGTTCAGCAAACGATAGTTGACTCCAAATATCTCTTGCTATCAGATTTAAAAAATACTTTTCAATGTTGCTCTTATTATTGGCAACTCTTATTATTGGAAACTTAACCAAATAAATATGCAATATTTGTTTAATTTATCTATATAAATAAAATAAACTATAATTATCAAATGTTGCTGCAAAGCTATCCTATTAAGTTGAATAGTTAGTTAATTAAAAATTGTGAATTATATTGTATAGTTTTAGAAGATCGTGTCTTAAAAACTTTTTAGTTGAAATATTATGTACAGAAAGTCAAATCCGAGTTCCCATTTTCAATTGCTTATTGATTCCGACTATCTAAATTTAAAACAAAGGAATGTACCAAATTTAGAAATTTTCTGCTTAATTAAAATTAAATTTAAATTTTTAAGAAACCGATTTTTGTTGTATAACGTATTGTTGCAAAAATTATTGGAATTATTGGAGTGAAATAAAACTCATTGAATTAGTTTGATTTTGTATATTTAGTCATATAGCTGTTTGAATTAAATACCTTACCAACTAAAATAGTGTGTTCATAAGTTACGTAATAAGTACAATTAATTACTGCTGATTGTGCATTAATCAAAGTCACGCCCAAAGTGACTACACAATCCCAAGGCCCAACTTAACGTATTCGCCGGCTAATCCCCGTATCCGAGCACATGCTACGCGATTCACTCAAACAGGAGGCATAAGCCATCGCATGGGGGATGAAGTGCTGCTCGTAGACGCCGGAGAAGAGCTGGGCATAGGGTCCACTGGCGAAGACGGCAACATCGTCGCCGCCATGTGTCTCCGACTCGAGTGGCACCGCCGTCGGAAACATGAAATCTTTGTTCTTCATGTTGATGGCACGCAGATTCTTCCGCTTGACGGCGCCTCCCTCACGCAGATAGTTGCTGTTGTAGCCGGGTCCGTTGGCATAGCTTAATGTTGCATACGGCAAATCATCGGCGGCCAGTTGCCCATCATTGATGCCAAATATATCGTTCTTTCGACTGGAATACCCGGCCAGCGACATGGTATGCGAGTGATCCGATGTCACCACAATCAACGTATCCTCCACGCTGCTGTGTGTCCGTGCCCAGCGCACGGACTTGTCGAACTCAGCGGTCTCATCAATGGCTCGCAGGGCCAACGTATCGTGATGACCATGATCGATGCGACCGCCCTCTACGAACAGAAAGTAGCCACGTCCGCCGCTCTGGCGCTCCAGTATGTCCATCGCTGCCTGCACCATCTCCTCCAAAGTGGGCAGCTCCTCGGCATTCGAATCGAGATGATAGGGCATATGATATGGTGCGAATAGGCCGAGCACTCGGGACGTCTGGTTGGACAGTTCCAGCAGCTGGCGACGTGTGTATACGTAGTGGGCACTGTTGGTGTGCTGACGCCGCCACTCCTCGATAAGATTGCGTCCGTCTTTGCGACGACCCAGCTGGCCACTTGTGTCCCGAACATGTTCGGGTAGAAAATTCTCACGTCCCCCGCCGAGAATCACATTCAGATTTTGGCCAACTGGACCATACACCAGCTGGGAGGCAATATCCGCACAGACGCTGGGATCAGCGCCATCCGCTTGGACATCCGCATCGTTCTCCCAGTTGCGATTGGCGATGTGGGCATAGATACCCGCCGGAGAGGCATGTGTCACCGATGTGGTTGTGATCAGGCCCGTGGCCATGCCTTGCCGCTGCGCCCACTCGGCAATGGAGGCCACCTGATGCTCCGGCTGCGATTGCGCAAAGCAGTCCTTCATGTGCACCGCTGCCGTGACGCCCACAGTGCCATAATTGGCCTTGACGCCACACAGATAAGCTGTGGCGGTGCACGCCGAATCCGCCACTTGCATATTGGCGCAGTACGTCTTGCTCAGGCCGACGTAGGGGAACTGCTCGAAGGCAAACTGCTTCTCCTCGCCCCCCAGATAGACTCGGCCCGCTGTTATTGTCGGTATGGACATGCCATCGCCCAGGAACAGCATTATATTCTTGGCCAACTGTGTGTTCAATCGCATCTTGCTCTCCAGCTGCTGTTCCAGCGTCTGGTTGGCAATGCTACGCCAATATTCCGCATACTGTTCCACCTTCAACGAGGGAAACGTCATCACCGGCATGCTGGCACGCTTGGAACGCAGCTCTGCGGCATCTGCCTTGTACACTGGATGCATGCCACGCTCAGCCTCACGGGTGGGCAGCGCTAGAAGTGGGTACAGTTTGCAGTTAGCACCAGCCCAGACTCAGTTCGAACTTTGACTTACCATAGCCACTGGCAAGAACAACGATCGTTCCCAATGCGAACAAATGCAAGATCATCTTTGCTGCCAGAGCTGTGCACGTTTCAATGGGAATTGATAGTGAGTCGCACGAGACCAGCTTTATTTATAGTCGGGTACGATCTCATAACAGGTCGTCGTCGCCGACACCGACGCCATCAGTTCCACAACGGCTGATAAACCAAAATCTATGCATCTACATATGGGTGTGTGTGTGTGTGTGTATGTGTGTGTGTGTGTTGTCTGTGTGTGTTTGTATATACAATTGTAAAATCGTTGTTCGAATCCCCGTCTTCATCATTTTGAACGTACTGTATTCTTATGTATGTGTGTGTGTTGTGTTTTGAATTTTCTGAAAATACATACATACAGTAAACCCTCGCTTAACGCAACGCTTGTTGCAACACCTAAAAAATATGTTAAAAATAATAATAAGAATTGTATATATAATATAATAGAAATAAGATAGGTTTAGCACAGTTAAGCACGCTCAGAAGTTTCCCGGTGATATGATACTACTGAAAATGTATATTAAGGATTCAATATATTTTTCTTCATTACATTTATTTTCTTTATTATAGGTCCCACTAATTATATCTCTGTTTATCTCTGCGTTCTTAGCTCTTGTACTCTCGTTGCTACTAAACTACTAATTATGGTGTGATTGGGTTTTTCTGTTTTTCTCCTGTATATGTTTACTATATTCTTTATTTTAATCTATATTTTCAATTTAAAATTTAAATTTCTTAAAATATTGGACAGTTCTGTGTCCATAATTATTGTAATAATAATTAATAATCATAAGAATAATAATTGCTATTCATATTTAAATGTAATTTTATTATAAATAAAAGTCATCGCTTTTTAAAAGCAGGTCAGTTGTCTAATAGAAAATTCCAACTCGGCTTTTGCGGCAAACAGAGGCCGTTTTAATGGGTCGCGCTGTGCGAGTGTGTACTGTAGGTACGTCTTCTTTGGTTTTTCAAAGTGTGTTATCATCATCCGCGGCGCGTCAACAAAGTCGACGTCGTCTGCCTGCTCATCGCCGCTGCCTGCCGGCGGATCTGAGCACGTGATTGCTGTCTTTGAGCTATGGTTTACTTAATTTTTGAAATTGTAGTTCAGATTTCCGTGTTATGCTATTCTACTGAAGTCATAAACCCTAAATAGACAGCTATAAAACATCAACAACTCAGCATATTTGGCCGTGGCCTCACACATTTCCAATTAATTTTGCATCCCTAAATAAAAATAACAGTTCATTATAGCATTCAAATTTATTGTAATAATATATGATATTAAAAGTAAAATCCCTTGCAAGGACGTAATTAGGTCATTGGCTTTAGATTAAAATTTTCAAAACAATATCAATTTGACGGCCGACTTACGAAGTTCGCACTTGATCAATATGATTAAAACTCGTAGTGAATGAAAAATCAAATAATAAACATACCACCAGCACGATCGAACTCTGACTTATATACATATATATATATGTGAATATGAGTTTAGTGCTTACAAATAAAAAATCCATTTCAATACACACAACTATTTAATAGATTTCTCTTAAGTGATTTGTTATGAGTTATTTGTAATATATACATATTGCAGTAGTATTCACTCAGAGAAATATGAACCAAAAACTTAAAATTTTCGAATGTTTAATAATAATGTATGCACATAAAAAAAATTCCTTAGAAAATTGATTTTTTTTTTTAGTTTTAGAAGAATTAAGAAAGCAACCCTGACTTTTCGAAAGACACAACCTTCCATTTTATAAATATATATATTTTCTGAATAATAATGTGAGTTACCCTTAGCGCCAAAAGTATGGCGATTTTCTTCTTCTCACGTGTATATAGCACAATGCACAAAAGATTTTTGTTCAGTGTCCATCGATGATAAACATGCTCCGATGAGAGCATTTTGAAAACTGGGCTGTGTTTTTCTGGAGCATGCGTTTGTTTCGTGTGATAATCGACCCTCAAGGGCTGCATTGATGTAGACAATACTAGTTTTCACTGCGCTGATATTGGACTAAAAGTGATTAGCATAGGTTAACATTGATTGGTTTGTTGTTACAAATTTGATTTAGCTTGCGATAATTCAATATTCAAAAATGTTGAATAACAAAGGGTAAGAAACATGAACTCAAAAATATTTATATTAGATTAGGTGATGAACGTCTATTCTTGCATATGCATCTATGTATTCACATTGACATTTTGTTTTTAAAAATCGTGATATTTCAAAGAAGCGCGCAAAGTTTTGCGCGAAAGCCAAAGTATTTTGCTGTTGGCAATGCTATTCGCGCTGTTAGATGTGAAGCATTGCCAGGAGCGCAGGCGCGAGCATCCGAATAGAAAAAAAGCTTAATTTTTTGACAATCTCAGCGGGTGTCTCTATCTCTCTCAGTCGCGCACTCTCTCTCTCTCTCTCTTTTTCGCTCGCACTCTCTCTTAAAATCTCTCTTGCACAGCAGCCGTTATCTTGTGCTGCTGCTGCGCCAAGAAACATCTTCGTACGAGAGCTTCTGGCCTGTCAGCGCGCATTTGGCCAAAATAGTTGTTGGTTCGCATGCAAAACGTCAAAATCGCATAAGCTAAACATTTTTATACCAACGGCGCGTTTTTAATTTTTTCTACACTACAAAAACACATAGAGGAAAGCAAAGGAACTGTAGCAAAATAACCAAAGAGCTGACAAAACTTTTAGCCCAACATTTGCTGTTTTTTTCAAATCATAAAAAATAATATGTATGCATGCATATTTATATATATATAAAAATATATAAAATGTATGTATATACACATATTTAACTATAAAAAAAACGCGTGTATATAACAAACGATATTTCAATAATTTTTAAATAATAAAAAAAGGTAAAAATAAGTGCAAAAAAGTGTGTGATCTTGTGTATTGCAAAATGTTGAATTTAATTAAACAAAATAAATGAAAGAAAAACAACAACATCATTTAAGAAACGTTTGCTCTACAATTTGTTTATACACAATGCCATTTGTCATGAAATTATTGACAAATGGATTTGATGAAAGTTTTTTCCTACGCTGGTGTACGAGTATTTGTGTGTATAACTGTATTTATCGAAAAGCATTATATATGTATGGCGTATGTGCATATGTACACTTTTTATATATACACAAAAAAAGACAATCCGATGTCGTTCGATGCAGAAAATGTATAAAAGCCCAACAATAGGAAAAATCCAGAATAATACTAAATATTACAAATTGTGTTCGACTACAGTTGTTTCTGTGTGTGCGTGTGTCCAGATTATGTGACTATGTTCATTTACATACATGTATATACGTATGTAAGTGGATACATATTACATCAGGATGCTGCTTTGTATTGGACGCCCAGCTGGCTGCCAAAGCGCTAAAATGGCTCAACATAACTCGACGTTTGAGTTTTCTGCTGTATTTCGCACAGACATACACACAAAAATATATCCATATGCAAAATGTTCACGTGCGCGACTTTGTGTGATGTCACAAAAAAAAAAAAAAAAAGATAGAAAGAGGTTTTTACTACAGCCTTGATGCTACTATGGCATTGCTATGGCAAACATTTTTTTGGCTTGGGATTTTTCATATATTTGAAGTTTTTCCGATCTGAAAAGGATATATGGATACATTCATTTTGCTAAACGGACTGTGATTAAAGCATTCATAATCAATGCTAAAAATAAGATGACAACTTTCAATTGACAGTTAAAACGAAAGTTATCATATATACACGCCAACAACAACGACGACAACAACAGCAAAGTTGCCTCGCATGTCGATAACAACAACAGCAACTACAACAAAAATATGACAACTAACACGCCCAGCATCAGCGACGGAGAAATTGAGCAGTCACATGAGAGTCACACAAGAACATGCCAAACAATTAAATAACAAAGAAAAAAAAGAAGAAACGAAAAAAAATGGTCTAAAACTTTTTCAAGGCACCTACATACACACACACACACACACACATTTAGATAGATAGACCTACAACAGTAAAACGCCAGCTACACAAACAACTTGTCGCTTTGGCGTCATCGAAGGGCGGCTGGGGGAGGCAAACTTTTAACATAGTAGCCCACATATACACACAGTTCTGCAGAAGTAATAAACCATATGACATACATACATGCGTACACACACAAACATGCGTACATACAAATGGACATATATACACACACATATATATATATAATATATATAAATATATATATACGACGAGGACGACGACTGCACATTGACTCAAAGTTGTAACTAAATGTGAGCAATCATCGCTCGCACATTTTATTCTTAATAGTAGGTTTGTAAACATTTGTCGATTTCTTTGGTTTGCTCACAAAACTATAAATGAAAACTATAAATGAAAACTATAAATTCGCATAAAAAAATAATAACAAATGCGTTGTTAAAGATGTGTTTTTATCTAAACTTACATGGCTTACTGTAATTCGAACCATCTTAAGTGACTAGAATTTTCAGAGCACAATGAATTCTTATTGTGTTCTAAGAAAATCAAAATAAATATTTCTAAAAATTAAAATTACATATTCAAAATATACTTTATTTTAAAATGCATTCAAAGGTTGTTTTTTGAAAGATGTGTTTTTTTATGGGTTGAGTTTACTGTAACTCGAATTATCTTCAGTTAAAATAATTTTCAGATTAAAATGAATTCTAATTGTGCGTCTATAAAGGAAATTTCTTAGAAACACTAAAGAATGGGGTTTATTCGATAGGACTTTTTTTAAAGCAAAACATTTTAGTATTGTGCATTACCTAATGCTTAAACATAGATTGATCATATCGAATTTTCTTACAATCTCAAAACAAAAAAGGGAATGTTTATTCCTTAGGACGTTTTAAAAAACCCAAACTTTAAATTGTGTACACTGATTAATGTTATAACGTAAATCTATCAAAATTTGTATACATTGATCACAGAATAAAAAAAAATTGATTGTAATTCGTAGATTAGAGATTAAATTAATTTATACAAATTCACTAAATGTGCTTTCTCTGTGTACATTGTTTAGAGTTTATAAACAATTTTTCCAAATTCACTGTAGCACAAATA